CGAAAAAACATAGTTGCACCTTTGGCAAGAACAGCTTCCTTGATTGCGTTTTCTTGGCACAATAGTAGCGATGGTTGATTGGGGTTTTGTGTACAACCTGGCCAGCTCGGAGATACGCACTCCACTTTCATACTTAGCAGTGATCTCTTTCTTCATATCCATAGTAATTCTCACCCTTCTTGCTGTAGGGTTGTCACTAGAAGCTTTCTTGGGGCCCATGGTGACTTATTTTGCAGGTGCAATCACTAAAAACGCTGTGATAATATGAAATGTTCCGATTGTATGTTTGGATGGGACTGCAGTGGCTGGCTGGCTTGTAAACACTGGCCACAAGTGGACGCATCTCAGACGGAACGAATCGTGTTGGTCGAGTTTTTTAACGCTAGTCGAGGCAAAATTTTTGCGTTAAAATGTATCGCTAGTCAGATTTAACGTTAGACGATGCCATCGTTGGTCAAGGGTCCACTGTATATACACGTGTATGCGTATATATATGTATTGTTTTGCATACACATGTATATAAATATTTTAATATATTATATATAATTTATATATAAAATATATATATATATTATATTTTTATATATATATATAATTTTATATATATATATAATATATATATATATATATATATATATATATATTTTTAAATATATATATATATATTATATATATATATATATTATATATTATATATATATATATATTATATATATATATATATATATAATATATATATATATTATTATATATAATATATATATATATATATATATATATATATATATATTATATAAAATATATATATATAATATAATATATATTTTATATATAATATTTATATTAATATATATATATATATATTCATTTTAACATGTCGGCCGTCTCCCACCAAGGAAGAGTGACCCAAAAGAAAGAAACACCCAAAAAGAAAGAAAAAACTTTATCAATTAACACTTTCACCATCACTCATACATATTCACTGTCTTCACAGAGGCACCCAGATACGACAGTTTGGATAGTCACTCCAAACCGCCAATATCCCAAACCCCTCCTTTAAAGTGCAGGCATTATACTTTCCATTTCCAGGACTCAAGTCCGGCTAACCGGTTTCCCTGAAACCCTTCACAAAATATTACCCTGCTCAGACTCCAATAGCTCATCAGGCCCCAAAAATCATTTGTCTCCATTCACTCCTATTTAACACGCTCACACACGTTTGCTGGAAATTCCAACCCCTCGCCCACAAAACCTCCTTTGCCCCCTCCCTCCAACCTTTTCAAGGGTGACCCTACCCCCGCCTTCCTTTCCCCATAGATTTATATGCTCTCCAAATCACTCTACTTTGTTCCATTCTCTCTAAACAACCAAACCACCTCAACAACCCATCTCCAGTCCTCTGACTAATACTTTTAGTAATTCCACCTCCTCCTAATTTCCATACTACGAATTCTCTGCATAATATTTACACCACGCAATGCGAAAAGTGGGTCATAATAAGTGTGTATGCACCTGGAGAAGAGAGGAATGTAGAGGAGAGAGAGAAATTTTGGGAGATGTTAAGTGAATGTATAGGAGCCTTTGAACCAAGTGAGAGAGTAATTGTGGTAGGGGATCTGAATGCTAAAGTAGGAGAAACTTTTAGAGAGGGTGTGGTAGGTAAGTTTGGGGTGCCAGGTGTAAATGATAATGGAAGCCCTTTGATTGAACTTTGTATAGAAAGGGGTTTAGTTATAGGCAATACATATTTTAAGAAAAAGAGGATAAAATAAGTATACAAGATATGATGTGGGGGGAAATGACAGTTAGTTTGTTGGATTATGTATTAGTAGATAAAAGACTGTTGAGTAGACTTCAGGATTTTACATGGGTTTTTAGAGGGGCCACAGATATATCAGATCACTTTCTAGTTGTAGCTACACTGAGAGTTTAAAAGGTAGATGGGGATACAAGGAGAATAGAAGCATCAGGGAAGAGAGAGGGGAAGGTTTAAACTAAAAGAGGGAGGCAGTTAGGGTAAGATATAAACAGCTACTGGAGGATAGATGGGCTAATGAGAGCATAGGCAATGGGGTCAAAGAGGTATGGGGTAGGTTTAAAAATGTAGTGGTAGTGTTCAGCAGAAGTTTGTGGTAACAGGAAAGTGGGTGCGGGAGGGAAGAGGAGCAATTGGTGGAATGATGTAAAGAGAGTAGTAAGGGAGAAAAAGTTAGCATATGAGAAATTTTTACACAGTAGAAGTGATGCAAGGAGGGAAGAGTATATGGAGAAAAAGAGGAGAGGTTAAAAGAGTGGTGAAGCAATGCAAAAAGAGAGGGAAATGAGAGAGTGGGTGAGATGTTATCAACAAATTTTGTTGAAAATAAGAAAAAGTTTTGGAGTGAGATTAACAAGTTAAGGAAGGCCCAGAGAACCCAAAAGGATTTGTCAGTTAAAAATAGGAGAGGAGAGTTATTAAATGGAGAGTTAGAGGTTATTGGGAAGATGGAGGGAATATTTTGAGGAATTGTTAAATGTTTATGAAGATAGGGATGCTGTGATTTCGTGTATAGGGCAAGGAGGAATAACATCTCGAGGAGTGAGGAAGAGCCAGTTGTGAGTGTGGGGGAAGTTCGTGAGGCAGTAGGTAGAATGAAAGGGGGTTAAGGCAGCCGGGGGTTGATGGGGATAAAGATAGAAATGTTAAAAGCAGGTGGGGAAAATAGTTTTGGAATGGTTGGTGCAATTATTTAATAAAAAGTATGGAAGAGGGTAAGGTACCTAGGGATTGGGAGAGAGCGTGCATAGTTCCTTTGTAAAAAAGGCAAAAGGGGACAAAAAGAGAGTGCAAAAATTATAGGGGGATAAGTCTGTTGAGTATACCTGGTAAAGTGTATGGTAGAGTTATTATTGAAAGAATTAAGAGTAAGACGGAGAATAGGATAGCAGATGAACAAGGAGGCTTTAGGAAAGGTAGGGGGTGTTGGACCAGGTGTTTACAGTGAAACATATAAGTGAACAGTATTTAGATAAGGCTAAAGAGGTTTTTGTGGCATTTATGGATTTGGAAAAGGCGTATGACAGGGTGGATAGGGGGGCAATGTGGCAGATGTTGCAGGTGTATGGTGTAGGAGGTAGGTTACTGAAAGCAGTGAAGAGTTTTTACGAGGATAGTGAGGCTCAAGTTAGAGTATGTAGGAAAGAGGGAAATTATTTCCCAGTAAAAGTAGGCCTTAGACAAGGATGTGTGATGTCACCATGGTTGTTTAATATATTTATAGATGGGGTTGTAAGAGAGTGTAAATGCGAGGGTCTTGGCAAGAGGCGTGGAGTTAAAAGATAAAGAATCACACATAAAGTGGGAGTTGTCACAGTTGCTCCTTGCTGATGACACTGTGCTCTTGGGAGATTCTAAAGAGAAGTTGCAGAGATTGGTGGATGAATTGGTAGGGTGTGCAAAAGAAGAAAATTAAAAGTGAATACAGGAAAGAGTAAGGTTATGAGGATAACAAAAAGATTAGGTGATGAAAGATTGGATATCAGATTGGAGGGAGAGAGTATGGAGGAGGTGAATGTATTCAGATATTTGGGAGTGGACGTGTCAGCGGATGGGGCTATGAAAGATGAGGTGAATCATAGAATTGATGAGGGGAAAAGGGTGAGTGGTGCACTTAGGAGTCTGTGGAGACAAAGAACTTTGTCCTTGGAGGCAAAGAGGGGAATGTATGAGAGTATAGTTTTACCAACGCTCTTATATGGGTGTGAAGCATGGGTGATGAATGTTGCAGCGAGGAGAAGGCTGGAGGCAGTGGAGATGTCATGTCTGAGGGCAATGTGTGGTGTGAATATAATGCAGAGAATTCGTAGTTTGGAAGTTAGGAGGAGGTGCGGGATTACCAAAACTGTTGTTCAGAGCGCTGAGGAAGGGTTGTTGAGGTGGTTCGGACATGTAGAGAGAATGGAGCGAAACAGAGTGATTTCAAGAGTGTATCAATCTGTAATGGAAGGAAGGCGGGGTAGGGGTCGGCCTAGGAAAGGTTGGAGGGAGGGGGTAAAGGAGGCTTTGTGTGTGAGGGGCTTGGACTTCCAGCAGGCATGCGTGAGCGTGTTTGATAGGAGTGAATGGAGACAAATGGTTTTTAATACTTGACGTGCTGTTGGAGTGTGAGCAAAGTAACATTTATGAGGGGGTTCAGGGAAACCGGCAGGCTGGACTTGAGTCCTGGAGATGGAAAGTACAGTGCCTGCACTCTGAAGGAGGGGTGTTAATGTTGCAGTTTAAAAACTGTAGTGTAAAGCACCCTTCTGGCAAGACAGTGATGGAGTGAATGATAGTGAAAGTTTTTCTTTTTCGGGCCACCCTGCCTTGGTGGGAATCGGCCAGTGTGATAATAATAAAAATATTGCCCTTAGACAGGACATCTCCACTGCCTCCAGCCACCTCATCACTGCAGCATTTGCAACCCAAGCTTCACACCCATATAGTGTACTGGTAACACTATACTTTTGTACATTCCCTTCTTTGCCTCCATGGATAGTTTTTTTTGTCTCCACAGATACCTCAACACACCACTCACCTTTTTCCTTCATCAATTCTATGGTTAACCTCATCCTTCATAAACCCATCTGCTGACAAGTCAACTCCCAAATATCTGACAACATTCACTTCTTCCATACTGCCTCTCTTGAATGTGATATCTAGTTTTTCTTTATCTAAATTGTTTGATACCCTCATCACCTTACTCTTATCTATATTCACTTTCAACTTTCTGCGTTTACACACCCTCCCAAACTCGTCCTCTAACCTTTGTAACTTTTCTTTAGAATCTCCCAAAAGCACAGTATCATCAGCAAAAAGTAACTATGTCAACTCCCATTATATATAGATATATTTATATATAGCAAGACCTTATATAAGTTTTGTTTTCAGAAAAACTGGTAAACATGTTCTGGAAAAATCAGGTTTTGGGTCCTCTAAACTTCTTTACAAGTTACAAAACATTAAAAAGAAAAATAACTACCTTTACATCATATATAGAGGGGAAGTAGAGTCTTAGGAGATCAAAGAAATCACTTTCTTCAGACGGTAGATTCTGATCTGTTAGCAGTTTCAACAAGTATCCAAAGTCATACCCACTGTGGAAAGAAATATTAAAGTAGGTTGCATTAACATGAATATATGCACCACATCATCAAAATAATGAAGACAAGCACAAAAAGTATGTGATCCAGAATGCTGAAGGGTCACTGACAAAGTTATTCCCTTTTACTCTGTACATTAGAGAATAATTTATATTTATCATGGGACATGCAATTTTTGAAAGAGTATAAGCACGATTACAATGAACTGGAAAAAAACAAAATTAAATATCCAAAGAGGAGGTAAAGTTACTAGTGGATATTCATGTGAAAACAGCAACAGGACCATACTAAATAGGACTGTAGGTTTTAATAGAATGAGCAGATAAACTAAGTTATACACATAACTATGATTTTGTCTTAGTCACCAAGAGGCACTCTGTAAAGTTGAAGATTTCACCAGGAGGCAAATTAGCATACAAGTTAAAATAGCATACATGTGGAAAGGCTCACTAATAGTTTTATTGTGAAAATAACAAAAATAGCCATTAGAGAAAAGTGGTAAAACACACTGAGAGCAAAAGACTTCTAAGAAACAATCTGGTTTTCAATTCACAAATTCCTAATTGCATACCCTATTAAATTGTTACAGTAGTCATAGAAATGACTAAAGAAAAAATCTTAATGGGTAGAGTGTAATTAGATGTCAGGAAAACTTAAGACAGAATTTCTGATGAAAAGACTAAGCTGGAAACTTCATGGTAGATGAAAGATTTTCTGTTTGAGACTGGAAATGCAGTGATGAGAAGTAAAATGTCCTGGTGAGATGACACCACCAACAAGGAGGCAGAGGTGCCCTAATAATGTCTCAAAAGTAATTTTTATACATGATTTGGTAGAAGGAATATTAAACTAAATGAACTTTTTGTGGAAGATGGAAGAATCTTGTATAAACTAATAAAAATTAATACACTGGTAAATTTATGCAAGAAGACTTAAGACGGATTGAATAAGTGGACTGATGTATGGATGATGAAATTCAATACGTTAAATGCCAGGTAACAGAAAAAAAAAAAAAAAAAAAAAAGACGTATGAAAAACAGAAATTTTTCGATAAAACATTGTCAAGAGAGATATTGATCTAGGAGTTATGTGACAAAAAGCTGTCACCGAAAGATCATATTAACGAAATAACGAAACTTGTTTATTTCACAGGCAAACTTTAAAATAGCCCATTAGATAAGCTAATAAAGCTAATTATAACACACAAGACCAAAACTGGAATACATCCTAGTGGTTATAGTGTATAAAATATTTGTTGATGAAGTAGGCTTGATATAAAATAAACTGAGAATAACGTTTTGTGATAAAGAGGCGAAAAAAAAAACTAACTGAAGTACCACAAAGATCACTGACATATTCTCTAACAGCCAACAGCAACAACAACCATCATGATGCTGTCTTATACTCCACATCATTGAAAGATGGCAGTTCCCAGTCAACAATTGCACTGCATCTCTCATTCCCTAGAAGCCTTTATAGGGGCACTGGACACCAGGCTATCATTACTAGAACCTACTGGACCTTTCTTTACCTTACATTAAGGATTGTAGACCAAACAGGCCACTAGAGGTGCACTTAGAAGTCATGTACAGTATTATGGCAAGAAATGTAAAGACTGTTCCAGATTGCACATAGGTAATGAAAGTGAAGCAAAAGAATGTGCATCCATATCCAAAGTGGATGCCATGAATGGTGATTCACAAATGAAGGCTAATTTCTTTCATATTGCACATTAAATTCAGAAAACCTATAAGACAGAGGCTGGCTTGCCATAACATTCTGAATAATTGTGAAATAGTATCGCACAAAAAAAAAAAAAATCTATTTTACCCAAGTAACCCACCTCAATTTCCATCACTTGCCTTTGGTTAGGATACAGAAGAATGTAAAGAAATGCAGTCAAACACAGCCCCTGACCACTGAGTTCTGAGTCATGAAATTGCAAGCCACTTCAATATTTGCTACCACCCTACCCATATATGGTCTGTAACAACTTTGACTCTAAATAATTATGAGAAATTGAAGGAAATATTTTAGATAGGGTCTTATGCAACTGGAAATTACACCCTGACACATTAGACATGATCAAACATGTTTTTCGAAGAAATTTGCTTAATAAAGTTGGTATCCAATTGCATAAGATTATAATGCACAATTTGGCCAAGAACATTACATATATCATACTTGCCTGTGGAAGGAAAGCATCTTGATATTATCAAACAGCACAATGCCAGAGGTCATTAAAAGCTCCGCAAAGTTAACAGGCTCAATGCCATCCTCTTCGTGTTTTTTGAATTGTAGTCCAGAATTTTGCAGAAGGTCTATACTGTCTTGTGCATACATGTCCTCCCTGAAATAAAAAATGAGAATCAGCTTAGTTAATTCGAATAGAACTGGCACTCCTGTTCACTTCAACACACACTTTGTAAAAAAAAAAAAAAAAAAAAAAAGTTCATACAGGGCGATACATATGGTTATTATTACCGACCAAAACTCATGCACTCAGATCTCAGGAAACAATAGGAGCAGAAAAAAATCTTATATAAAGTGTTCTAGCAATACAGTACATGAAGTGTATTCTCAAAAATATACATAAGAATGCCTTTAATACCTTTGATAAACCTTTAATGGGTTTTGACTTTTTGTACTACCACAGCCCAGCCCTAGGCCAGGCTTATCTCATGCTTGCCTGGTCAGCCAGGCTATTGTTATTGTCAGCCAACTGGCCCTCATACCCATCACAGCCTGGTTAATCTGGTACTTGGTGGAGGTACTTAACAAGTCTCCTCTTAAGACCTCTACACTTATTCTGGCAGTGTTTCTGATAACTCTGGAAGAATGTTAAATAGTTTGAGACCATGGATGTTGAGAAAATATTTTCTAATTGTGCCCAAGGTACCCCTACCCTGATCCACCACGAGGCCTGGTCACAGACCAGGCTGCAGGGGCGTTGACCCCCGGAATTCTCTGTCCAGGTAAACTCCAGTATGTTATGGCAGTGTGCAGATTTGGGATTACTCTCTCAAATACTTTCCACATGAATCTATATTCCATACTTAAGTACATACATATTTAGGACTCTGAGGTGTTCCCAATAATTAAAATGTTTTACTGACACTATGGAGGCCATAAATGATCTGTATCTGTTCCAGTTCTGATATTTCTCCTGCCTTGAACAGGTACATCAATACTGAACAATACTCTAAGCAAGAAAGCATAAGTGTTTTGAATAATGTGACCACTTGCACTCTTTCCCTTCTTTTGAAAGCTCTCATTATCTAAATCCTTTCCCTGGTTTTTGTGACATTTGTCTTACAGTGTTTCACAAAAAGAGTAGCTGACATAATTATGCTGAAGTCCTTCACATTCTCCTTTTGCTGTATCTGGTGATCTTGTGACTTTTACAGTGTTCCTTTTGAGCTCTTCATTTCTTTCATATTTAAGTAGCTGGAATTTGTCATCACTGAATGTCACATTATTTTTCACTGCCCACCGGAAGATTTCACCTATATCCTCACGTAATTTTTGTGTGCCTTTCTATTGAGGTGATTTTCATTCTTCTCTTGGTATCATCCACAAGTGATATGAAACTGTAGCAAGCATTTTTATCTATGTCTGCTATGAGGATAAGAAGCAGTAAAGGCACCAGGATTGTGCCATGGGGTGCTAAACTTTTTACTTTTGCAATGCTAGATTTAACTCTATTTACTACTATTTTGTGTATTCTATTTGTCAGAAAGATGAATATCCATTTGCCTACTTTCCCAGTCAGACCTATCACCCTCATTCTGTGTGCAATCTGGCCATGATCACATCTGTCAAATGCTTCTGAAAAATCCACGTATCCAACATCTGTGTTTTGGTTTTCTTCCAACTCCATAACAGTGGTTTAGTAATTATGACAAGCATCATCTTCCTGCTCTAAATCCATGCTGGTTTGAGTTGTGCACATTATGCTATTCTATAAAATTTGTAATTTAGCATCTTCATTTGGAAGGCTTGTACGGTGTGTAAGTGTACTATATTTCACATTCTTATTTATACAAAAATATAATACATGTACCAATAAATAAACTTACGTAAGATTAAACTTGAAATTAAATTGCCAAGTGCTGAATCCAGGAGGTGTCTTGCCCTGCTCATCTAGGAATGTAAGACCAAGCTGGATAATTTTGAGAAGGTCCACATTACATCGCAGAAGCTGGTACTGGTAATCTGCATTACTTCGGAATTCACCAATTGGCCGTGCAACCACACCGGGAAATTCTGTGTCCTGTGGAGGATTAAAAGAGAGGTTGGTTAGTTAATGAAAACATGTTTAATTATAAAAACCACAAATAACCCAGATTTAATACAAAAATGTATACAGCCTCTCCTCACTTAACGACGGAGTTCTGTTCCTAAGACCATGTCGATAAACAAATTCGTCACTAAGTGAGGAGCATACTATTATGGTAGTGGGTTTGTGTCAACCCTCTTTGATATTGTTTTAATGTCACCTTTGCACCATTTATAACATTTCTGGTATGTTTTTAAATATTTACACAGTAGTGTACTGTATATTGTATTAAACAGAATAAAGGAAATCAGCTCTAATATACATTTTTAGGTATGCATACTGGTCAGAGAGCCCATCATAAGTCCGAGTCGTCGGTGAAAGAGTACGTCACTAAGTGAGGAGAGGTTGTAATGGCTTGATAGAGCTCCTGTAATGTCTCATTAGCTGCTTATATCTCTTTACCTAACAATACAGTAAATATAAATATTATGTAAACAATTTAATAAACACTCGCAAGCGAAGACCTAACAATAATAAAGGATGGAAGTCAATTATCAGGAGAGCAATTCACAGAATCATATAACGTTCAGTGTAGTATCTTAAACTGTCCAGGGAGATAAAAAGGGAAGTATACCTGAGTATAGTGGTACCAGCATTGTTGTATGGATGCAACATATGGGTTTTGAATGTTACAGCAAGAAGGTTGGAGGCAGTAGAGATGCTGTATTTGAAATTAATGTGTTGTGTGAATATTATGCAGAGAATTCAGTTTGGATTTTAAAAAGAGGTTTGGAGTTACCCCTCTCAGAGGTCTAAGAAGAAGTTGTTGAGGTGGTGTGGACATTTGGAGAGGATACAGAGAAGCATGGTAACTGGTAGGACACGTAAATCTGAAGAAGAGAAAAGGATGGGTAGGGTTCATCCTAGGAAACTTTGGAGAGAGAGAATAAAGGTGACTTTGAGTGCTAGGGGCTTGGACATGCAGCAGACTTGTGTGAGTGTGTTAGATATAAGTGATTGGAGGAAAGTGATTTTTATGATTTGATATGCTGTTGGTGTGTGAGCAAGGTAAAATGTATGAAGGGATTTTGGGACACCAGTTAGCCAGTACTTGAGCCCTGTAGGTGGAAAATACAATGCCTGCACTCTGAAGGAGTGGATTGTTGCAGTTCAGAGGGTCATCTGAACTGTGAGACTGGCACCTATCTAGCAAGACAGTGATTAAATGAGTGACAGTAAAAGAGTTTTCTTCTTTGTTGGGTCATCCTACTTCAGTGGGCGATGGCTGGAGAGTTAAAAAAAAAAAAAGTTTACTCGGTACAATTCCTTATCCAGGTGAAAATAATTTTTAGCAAAGAGTTCCAAAAATCTGCTATATGTACAGTACAGTGTAATCCTGTGTTGTACATGAGTACAATATAATCCATAAAATTAAATAACTGATTTACACGCTTTCAAATATAAGAATTGATACAGTATAATACTGCATACAGATTCATTCCAAATCTATACCGAATTGCAGCTTTTTACAAGTTAATAGTCTATTACTACTGCATTTTTAAAGATATCTATAAACTGTAATCAAGTACAATTAAAATTCAGACAGAAAGGTTGTTACATACCATGGCAACAAAGGGATACTGGAGCACAATACGACGGATGTGATGAAACTCTTCCTCCATGTTGTGTGCCCAGACTTCTCGAATGCCACATTCCTCATTGGACATTGGCCGAACAACTCCAGTGCTCCTCCCTCCCCCCCGATTACCACCGCCGTCACTGCTCTCTCTCTCCCCAGCTCCACTACTTCCACCGCCCAACACGAACGGCCCAGTTATACTCGGCATCACACTTTGAACCATCCAAAAACAAGCACAGCACTCTAAAACAAAAAGCAAACAAAAAAGTATTAGTGATACACTAGTCAGTATAACTTTCATTTTCCTAAATAATAATTTGAAAACAAGTATGAAAAGTAGAACTTCGATATTAACGACATTAGCATTTGTGCAATACAACCGTTTGTTAATTTTCTTATGGATGGTCCCAAAAGTAAACTCCGCTATTCACAGGTCCTCCTTTAGTATGCCTGAGATAAAATGTCAAGATATTAAAGTAAAGCAATTCCTTTTCCTACCCAGTACAGTACAATAATGTGCAAATATTAATACTGTATTGCTCTGGTATAACAGGTATACATGTATTTCACTTAAATGAAGGAAAATAAATCTGAAATTCAAGTCAGAGCATAAATTAGAGCTAGTGGCTTTTCATGGTAATTTTTTTGCAAGAGATTCCAAGATTAAGCAGAGCACCAAGGTGGAGGCTGTGTGTCTAACTTACAATTAAGGTCACCAAAGCCTTCAGAATGTGCCCAAACAAATACTCATCACATGTAGGATCAATGTCTCAGCCATCTCAAAAAGTCACTATGGCAAGCCACTACCATCTCAGTTACTAGCCATTGCCTCAGCCATCACCACCACCCCTACATGAGCCACCACCACAGCCACCATATTGTAGTCACCACCATAGCCACCATGTTATAGCCACCACCACCATACTATAGCCTTCACCACAGCCACCATACTGTAGCCTCCACCACAGCTACCATGCTATAGCCTCCACTAAGCTATAGCCTCCACCATAGCCACCTTGCTATAGCCTCCACCATAGTCACCATGCTATAGCCAACACCATAGTCACCACCATGCTATTGCCAGCACCATAGACACCATGCTATAGCTGCCACCATAGCCACCATGCTATAGCTGCCACCATAGCCACTATGCTATAGCCAGCACCACAGACACCATGCTATAGCCTCCATGTTATAGCCACCATACTGTAACCACTACCATAGCCACCATGCTATAGCCTCCACCACAGCCACCATGCTGTAGCCACCACCATAACTGCCATTCTGTATCTACTACCATAGCCACCATACTGTAACCATGAACATAGCCACCATAATGTAGCCATCAACATAGCCATTATGCTGTAGCCACTACCACAGCCACCATCTCAGTTACCAGTCACCATTAAAGCCACCATCCACAGCAACTACCACAGATACTATCTCTGATGTGCAACTCCAGGATGATTTTCCAGAGGCATCATCCTTTCTAACTCTCCCCTCAACACTATAACCACATGAAAAAAGTTAATAATGCACATAATGTACTGTACACATTAATTTAAAAAATTACTGTTTGGTACTGTTCATGATGCCTCTAGAAATGCATTGCCATGAATATCGAGGGTCTACGGTATTTTATTTTTTCTGTACAGTATAAGAATATAGGATCAACATGTATGTAATACATAAAAGCTGTTATGATCATCAGTTTTTAAACAGCTACCCTTTTAGTCTCTACAGACTAGATGTTTCACATATCCTTTTCTATTGTCTAAGGGATATTAGGATATTATCAGTACATAATATCATTATTATGTACTGATAATATCTGATATTCCAGTACTTATTGACCTTCTGGTGGCAGCCCAAACTTTTAGCGCTCTATGACTGATCAAAACCTCCAGACATACATTTTGAGTGCAAATTATTCTTAATAAAAGTACCCATTGCACATAAGTCCATTTACAGCATCAGTCTTCTTCAATGTTCTGATACAAACATCAGTCCTGTTCAAAGTTCTTGTATGAACATAAATCATTTTCACATCTCTATTATGAACATCAATAATTTTCAGTTTTGGTATGAATATCAATCCTTTTCAGTTCTTGTATGAGCATCAATTATTTCCACAGTTCTGGTATGAACATCAGCCGTCTACCTACCTAGAGTGTACTGGAGTGTGTCATGAGGGTCAATGCCCCTGAGGCCTGGTCCCAGACCAGGCCTCTTGATGGATGACCTGATCAAGCAGACTGTTTGTGCTGGTTGTGTAAAGGCCAACTTAAGCACCACAGTCTGACTGATTAGGCACTGACCTAAGGAACTTGTCCAGTTCTTTCTTGAAGATAGCCAGAGGCATGCTGGTAATTCCCCTTACATATAGAGGAAGGTCATTTAAAAGTCTTGGTCCCTTCATACTCATTAAGTTTTTCCTTAGTGTACTCGCTACACTCCTGCTTTTCATTGGGATTATTTTGCACTGTCTGCCAAGCCTACCAGGCTATCAGGCTCATGGTCTGGTAGGCAAAGCTCTTGCTTCACACACTGAGGGTCCATGGTTCGATTTCTGGCACTGTTGGAAACACCAGGCAGATTTCCTTATATCTGTTGTCCCTGTTCACCCATCAGTAAAATGGGTACATGGGTGTTAGTCGACTGGTGTAGGTTGTATCCTGGGACAAAATGCTCTGCATAACAAGGAGTTTTCTATATAGTAGTACATGTCTGATGTCAATTAGACCTGTATACCTTGTACATGAACTTGTAGTAATAAAGATATATTATTATTCATGGGGAATGACTTGTATGAGCAGATTTGAAACCAATTCCCTAGACTTTTCTAGGTGTAGATTATAATGTACGTCTCTTGCCTATATTCCAAGGAGTACAGATTGCGGGACTTCAAACATTCCCAGTGATTTAGGTATTTAACTGAATCTAACATGAAGGAGCTCTGCACATTCTCCAAGTCTACAATTTTGCCTGCTTTGAACAGAATTGGTAGTACAGTGGTACTCCAGCCTAGAGAGAACAAGTGACCTTGAAAAGTATCATCATTAATAATTTGGCATCCCTGGTTTGAAAGTTCTAGTTATCCAGATTATCACTTTCCTTGCTTGTGGTTGTGATAGTGACAGTATTGAGATCCTTGAAGGCAAGATCTCTTGACATATTCACTCCCAAGTCACTCACATTAGTTTTATGCTCTACTGAACTGTAGATAGTTCTGGTATGAATACCAGTCCTATTCATTTCTAATTTTCCCTCATTTTGTTTTACAATGTGTGAATCATTTATCATCATAGTGAGCTGTACATTTGTAGCTCTGTTTCCAAACATCATGTAGAAGGTGTTGTCAACATTAAGAGTGAGTTTACTGGTAGTCATTCAAGCAGATATCTGTACGAGCTCATCATTAACAACATGATTGAGAGAAAATGGATCTGAATGGGAGATGACAAAGGCTGTGTCATCTGCCAATGGAACAGGCTCAAGAAACTGAGATGCATTAGGAAGGTCATTGATGTAGACAAGGAAAAATTGAGGGCCAAAAACATTGCTCTGAGGCACCCCAATGTTGACAAATCAAATTCACAAGGCTGTATCATTGATGGTATAAACATCAGCCCTGTGCATGGTTCTGGTATGAACACCAGTCCTGTTCAGTGTCTTGATATGAACACTGGTCCACTTTAGTCCTTTTCTGTTCTAGTATGAACAGCCAGTTCTATATGAACAGTTCAGTTCTAGTATAAACTGATGAAATTGAGACACATGTGCAACATCTGGGTATCTTTATTGTAGACGTTTCGCCATCCAGTGGCTTTATCAATACAAATTCCAGAACATAACTAGAAGACAGTAGGACTATATATAGAAGATGAGGTAATCAGTCCCTCAACCTTGGAGTAGGTGCGAAGAGCACTGTAGTCGTGGAGATTCTGAAGCAAGGAGCCTGGTGCTTATATACTAACGTCAGGTGTAGCAGACGAGGGCATAGTCACTGGTAGGCAGGATTCCCCAGTGGAAGATGTTGCACATGTGTCTTAATTTTATCTTGTCGGTATTATATACCATTCTTGCACAACTTGTCAGACACTGCAACATCATGGAATCTTGATTCTGAGGACATGTACATAACCTTCACGACTACGACAACTACTACTACAACTAACCCATCTCTTTGGGAAGGACCTACTTCCACTGGGGAATCCCACCTACCAGTGACTATGCCCTCGTCTGCTACACCTGACGTTAGTATATAAGTGCCAGGCTCCTTGCTTCTGCTTCAGAATCTCCACGACTACGGTGCTCTTCGCACTTTCTCCAAGGTTGAGGGACTGATTACCTCATCTTCTATATACAGTCCTACTGTCTTCAAGTTATGTTCTGGAATTTGTATTGATCAAGCCACTGGATGGCGAAACGTCTATAATAAAGATACCCAGATGTTGCACATGTGTCTTAATTTCATCTTGTCAGTATTATATACCATTCTTGCACAACTAGTATAAACTATTCAGTTCCAATATGAACTGCTCAGTTCTAATATGAACTGTTCACTTCTATTATAAACAGTTCAGTTTGGTATGAACAGTTTAGGTCTAGTATGAACAGTTCAGTTCTAGTTTGAACAGCTCAATTCTAGTTTGAACAGTTCAGTTCTAGTTTGAACATTTCAGTTCAATCTGAACTGTTCAGTTCAATCTGAACTGTTCAGTTCAATCTGAACTGTTCAGTTCAATCTGAACTGTTCAGTTCTAGTTTGAACAGTCCAGTTCAGTTCTAGTATGAAAAGTCCAGTTCATTTCTTGTATGAAGTCCAGTTCAGTTCTAGTATGAATAGTCCAGTTCAGTTCTAGTATGAACAGTCCAGTTCAGTTCTAGTATGAACAGTCCAGTTCAGTTCTAGTATGAGCAGTCCAGTTCAATTCTAGTATGAACAGTTCAGTTCTAGTTTGATCAGTCCAGTTCATTTCTAGTATGAATATCAGTTTTATGCATATTTCTAGCATGAACACCAGGCCCATTCAGTTCTGGTATGGACATCAGAACTGTTCACAGTTTTGGCATGATTATTATTACTTTCTTGAGGGAAGCACTTAACCTTTAGGGATCAGTGTCTGGGGAAATGGGGGGGGGGAATCAAGTTTGATCCAAGGAAAGGGAGGATAAGCAGAATACCTTGGATCAAAAGCCCAGCATGAGGCATCTTCCTTGAGGTGATTTCCAGTATGAAAATGTGTCCTATTCATTTGTGGTGAATGCTAGTCTTCCTCTAGATAGGGCATGAATGTATCCTGTGCACAGTACTGGTATGAACATCTGTCCTGTGTAAAGTTTTGATGTAAACATCTATCCTAGGGGCAGTTCTGGTATGAACATCTATTCTTAGTGTTGTTCAGGAATAACAATGTCATGTGCACAGTTACAGTAAACTTTGTATAATCATCAGTTCTAGATGTCTTGTGCACAGCTGTGATATGAATATCAGTCCTGTGCACAGTTTTAGTATATCAATTATGTGCACAGTTTTCATTTGAACATCAATCCTGTGCAATTCTGGTATGAACATCAACCTTGTGCACAGTTCTGGTATGAACATCAATCCTGCACAGTTCTGGTACAAACAATCCTGCATACAGTTCTGGTATGAACATCAATCCCATGTAGCACTAGTATGAGCATGTTCTGCGCATAATTCTAGTATGAACATCTGTAATGTGCACAATTGTGGTATGAACAGGCCCTGTGCAGTTGTATGAACACCTGTTCTATGCACATTGGTATGAACATGTCCTGTGCAGAGTTGTAGCATGAACACCATCATGTGCAGTTATGGTATGAACATCTATCTTATGTACAGTGGTATTAACATGTCTTGTGCATAGTTGTGGTATGTACGTGTCCTGTGCACAGGTATGGTATGAACATGTCCTATGCACGTGTATGAACATGTCCTGTGCAGGTGTGTGAGCATGTCACATGCAGGTGTATGAACATCTGTCATGTCCAGGTGTATGAACATCTGTCATGTGCAGTTGTGGTATGAACATCTGTAATATGCATAATTGTTGTATGAATATCTGTCCTGTAGGAACATGTCATGTGCACAGCTGTGGTATAAACATCTGTCCAGTGGAGTTATATGAACAAGACATCTGCTGTTATGGTATGAACATATCCTGTGCACAGTTGTGGTATGAACATGTCCTGTGCACAGTTGTGGTATGAACATGTCCTGTGCACAGTTGTGGTATGAACATGTCCTGTGCACAGTTGTGGTATGAACATGTCCTGTGCACAGTTGTGGTATGAACATGTCCTTTGCACAGTTGTGGTATGAACATGTCCTGTGCACAGTTGTGGTATGAACATGTCCTGTGCACAGTTGTGCTCATAGTTCTGGAGAGAACTTCAGTACTATACAGTTGTGATGGTAGCCTCAGTCTTATACATCAGAGGACTAGAACGAAGATCAGTCTTGTGCACAATAGTTCCGGTTACAACACAAGCGAGAAAGCAGAGAAGTTCCTCCATGAACACTCAGTGTTCACTCGGTGTTCAGGTGAATATCTTACCTCACACAAATATGTAAACATTGCCAAGCTGGGCAATCTCTGATCTCATCTCTTATATTTCCTCCTCCATCACTTATTTAGCACATCCCTGGCCACTCTCTCTCAATACAAGAATACGGGTGTTCTTCACGACGGTTCTGTAGAACAGGGCGTGTGTTAATTACTCGTAAATAAGGAAAGAACACTGTTCAGCCTTATCAGCATCTTGTCCATTCACGGTCACACAAAATGAAAATACAATACTCCATTCTCACGTAGAGCTGGACTCTATAGCTTTTTTTAGCGCACCACTTACTTTGAGGAGAATTTCAAGAGGCCTGCGGACTACGCTAAGTAAAAATAAAGTTTATAAATGGAGAGTAGTAAAGATTCAAACAAATTCGAGTGGCTTGTGTGTCCACAAGCACAGCTGAGTGTGACGTCAACACCATGGCAGAAAATGGGAAACATTTTCATAATATGAATTCACCTCAGTAGCTGAAGCAGACTTGTTCAGCTATCAAAACTTTGTGGTCCAGTCCCTGGACCCATTATGTACCTCTGTAATTTTTTGACTACCGCCCACAGGATGGGTATGGGGTGCATAATAAAGATATTAAACTACTGACTGGGGTTGAAAGGAGATTTATGTCTTTGTTGAAGCGCTTCATGCATGAAATAAAGTTGTTGTTTGTAGTGGTTCTGAGGGAGCTCTTATGTGGTAGATTACGTAGATTTAAGAACCTAAAAGTGTAAAGGACCCCAATGGATATGTCACTTTGTCTGACTTTTTTTTAGATTATCCTAGGTAATTTACACTGATAATTGTACTAGTGTGTACCTGTGTCTAAACTTAAAGATGTAGAACTACAGTAAGCTTACTGGCCCATGATGGACAGGTCCTACAGCTCAACCCTGCTCGCTTATAAATTTATCTAAGCTATTTTTAAAGCTACATAGTGTTGGTTACAATGACTCAACATGGCAGATTGTCCTGTTTATCTTCAACTTTTTCCGAGTTCTTTCTTGGGTAGATATTCTTAGCACCCATTTGTATATCTTTCATTTAAACACGTCTTTCACTTGTATACTTCAGCGTCATTCAAGATAGTGTAGGTTTAGCTTTCTCAGTCTATGTGTTGATAAGATTCCTTATTGATTGGATAAATTTTGTCATCATTCTCCACGCATTCCAATGCATTTATATTCATTGCTTACCATGATTCCCAGTTTTTTGTCACAATCTATATACTGAAATTCTGCATCACCTAGTGTATAAATGTGAGGGTTTTCATTCCCAAGTATTAGGACTTTGCACTTTGTCCACATTGAACTGCATCTGTCAGATTATTAATAAAGAATGAAAACAAGAATGAGCCCAAAACTGATCCTTGTGGAACGTGACCACTTCTGATTGGTTCCCATTACAATGTAAAATATTTTTTATGTAAACTAACACCGTGTCCTCGTGCTGCTACTTTCATTACCAGTCTTCTATGTGATACTCTATCAAAAGTCTTACTAAACTTCAAATAAATAACTTGTATTCTTTAACTTGGTTAACTACCTCAGATGCTTTATGAAAGTCGGTAAATTTGTCTGGAAGAACGGTCCTTTATGAATCTATGTCACTTCCATGTTGAGACTATTTAATAAAAGTATGCTCATCAAGGTGGCTTATTATATCGGCTATTATTGATTATAATCATTTGTTTGCTATTGAGGTTAGGCATACTAGCCAGCAATATGATGATATGGACTTTACTCCTAATTTCAAGATTGGAATTACATTAGATTCCAGGGGAAGCTCCAGAAGTTATTTATGGGAGGGACTTAGTGATGGCATTCTGGAAGAGCCTAGGAAACTTGTCTTGAATCAGCGTTATTATTATTATTATTACTGGACAAGGTTTAAGGGTAATGATGAAATGTAGGGGAAAAATTCAGATCCTTGGCGCTGCCCTTGCTCCACATCTGCAAGACACATCTACAGTGATACATTAAACAAGTTCGTTAATGACTCACTAAATTCCATCTCGCACTCTTGAAGTACCCCTTGAAAGCAGGACTTTAATCGGTCTTTTGATTTGATTGTGTCACTAGTGACTGTGATATGACTTAATTTATTTCGTTTAGACCCTCGATAATTATTAATTGCTGAGATATCATTTTTGTCTTCTTGTGAAGATCAACAGGAAAAAACAGCACATACAGTCACTAGCTTGGTAATAGTTTAATATATTTATTATGCAAACCATACCCATCCTGTGGGTAGTCAAAAGATTACAGAGGCACATAATAGGTCCAGGGACTGGGTAGCAAAGCTTTGACAGCTGAACAAGTTACAGTGGTAATGAACCATTTACATGTTTATATCTGGTCACAACAGTATTGAGTTATTTATGCAGACTTGAATTAGGTCACATACACATGCAAAAAAAAAGTTTCTTACTTTTTCTACAATTCTGAACTGAAAAGCAATTTTTTCTTCAGCATCTTTGGCAGGTAGACGATTCCACAGGCAGCATTGTCTCCCTTGTATAGGTACCCCAAGAATCTTTACTATTGATCTTCGTTCAGCGTTTTTTGTGCACTTATTAATGCTACCACTGCTGACCCTGACTTTTGGCCAGCTACGCCATGAACTATTCTTCCCATAAAGTTACTGGGGCTCCAGAGATATAACAGGTTTCCTTTGACGAGGATGGCAGCGCACAAAAAATCAGGTGTTTCTCAACATATGTCAGTGGTGAATGATTTAAACTTGACTCTGACTTTCCGGTCTCGATCGTCTTATCCACCAATTGTTCTGCATAGACTGCAAACGTATCTGTTGTATATATTCATACGTGTAATTCATCTGCAGTGCTTGACGAGCCACCAGCTGTTCTTACTGTTACAACTAGCATATTCTTGGCCCACCTGCAGTATTGTGACCCACAGTCTCACAGTACTGTGACCGAGCAGTCCCTCCTGCAGTGTTATGACTCATTAGTCTCTCCCGCAGTATGCTGATCCATCAGTCTCCACTCACAGTGTTCTCACCCATCAGTTCCTTCTGCAGGTTCAACTGATAGAGAAATTGATCCACCTGCTTCTTCTGTTAGTCAGCCAAACACTTCACTCCTCCCTTGGCTAACAACTACTGCGCCAATCCTTCTATCAACGATAGCATTGCCTAAATAGTTGGGCTTTTGCTGTAACTGGTGTTACACTGCCACCAGACTTTGCTGTAGCTTCTGTGTCAAGATATGCTGTAGTTACTTCCGAATTAGTACACCATCCTACTCCCATTGTTGTAGTTATGGATCAGGACATCAGCATACTCTGGTAGCTTTAGTTGTGATCTGCATAAGTACATCAGCCTGCTCCTGTTGATGAATAAGACACAAGGGCAACACCTGGGTATCTTTAATGAGATATTTTGCCCACCAGGGGCTTTATCATTCTATTAAAGAGAAATGAGAACAAAGCCTTTTTTTATATAGTGAGCCAGTAGAAGAGGTTGAGCTATGCAACAGTAGTAGACGAAGTCACTTGGGTGGGGCTCACTAGTGGAAGTAGGTGAGAGCCATACGGTGGACTAGATTTTTACCAATCAATATTGTAGATTTACGGATTTGAATAAAAGTATGAAGTGTTGCCTAAAATTTGAATTTGTGATGGTTCTGAGAACTTCCTTTTGTTGTCACAATTGATTTCAGGTACATAACTTACCCTCATCTTCTCTCTCTCTACTTTCGACTCATTAATTTTGATGTCTAACTTTGAACAATATGTATTCATAAAAATTATATACATTTTTTCTATATTAAAGGTGAGTTTATTTGTTTTCATCTAGGTGTAGACTATTTTAAATTCGTCATGAAATACAGAGTTTAAAGTTAGGGGATCAGAGCATGATAAAATATAGGTCGTGCCATCGGTAGAGAGTACTGGTTGAAGAGTGCAGACGCTGTGTGGCATTTATTGTCACTGATGGAAGAGAAGAGGACCCAGGATCAGTCTTGGGGGATACCTAATTCAATTGACTGGGGTAGTTGAGGAAGTAGCATTTATGACTACGTGCTGTTTGTTTGTTAAGTAGGATTTGAAGTAGCTGTAACTTTAGATTTTGCCACCGAAGTGGCTAGTTTATTGTGCACCCCATATCCATCCTGTGGACGGTAGCGCGAGAGCATATGGATACACAAAAGGCCTAGGAACTAGGCCCCAAAGGAGCTGTAAATGAGCTCTCTGAGTCCGTAGTAATTAATTTTGGGAAGAATAATGTAGTCAACTACATCAAAAGTCCTACGCAGATCAATAAAAGCTAACTAAAACATTGGTTCCTTTCAGGTGTTGTATATACTTGGTTAAACTTGTTTTTGATCGCATCATTAATACTTTCTGGATCTGAATCCAAAATGGCAAGGAATATGCACATTATCTTTGATAAGTGCGAGTACAGCTGTTTGTTTATTATTTTCTGAAATATTTTTCGCAGCATTGGTGGATATCTATTGGTCTGTAACTGTTAACATTGGTCTGTTAATTTTTTTTTTTTTTTTTTTTGTGTGTGTGTGTGTGTGTGTGTGTGTGTGTGTGTGTGTGTGTGTGTGTGTGTGTGTGTGTGTGTGGGGTGTGTGTGTGTGTGTGTGTGTGTGTGTGTGTGGTGGATGGGTCTTATCCTGGTTCTTTGAAACAATCTGGAAAGTGGTATTCTTCAAAGGATTTTTTGAAACATTGAAATAGGTGAAGATAATACTTGTACAGCTTTCTTATAGATAATGATGGGCATTTCTTCTATGCTACTAGAAGAAATAACATCAGGTGTTTGTTTCCATCGCAGTACAGGTGGAAACACTGGGCTTGTTTCCTTAAAACACCTGCTGTCCCTGTTCACCTAGCTAAAATGATCTGATTTTACATTTTTAAGTGTACATTCTGAATCAGCATAGAAAATAGTACTCTTGTTGTGGTTTTAAGTAATTTTGAAAATCCAGCCGAAAATGGCGAGGGAGGGGGGACTTTTTCTCTCAAAATAGAAAATGGTCTTGATGACACTTTGTTAGATTAATTACTCCCCTCAAACATGAAAAATCCTGTATATACAGCTTTCGTGGAAAGTTGTGAACTATTTTTGATGGTACTTAAGAATATGCACTTGAAAAAAAATGAAGAGACCGGGTTAGCATGACACGAGGCTGTTTTCTCTCGTCTGAATCTCCCCTGGCTGAGGCGCCTTTTACTGCACACTTATAGTAATAATAATAATGTCTTTATTTACTACAAGTACATGTACAAGGTATACAGGCTTAGATGATATCAATGACATACTACCATATAGAAAGCCGCTTGTTATGCAGAACATTTCGGGCAAATTAGGTAATTTTATCCCAGGATGCGACCCACACCAGTCCACTAACACCCAGGTACCCATTTTACTGATGGGTGAACATAGACAACCGGTGTAAGGAAACACGTCCAGTGTTTCCACCCCTTCGCTGGGAATCGAACTCAGACCCTCACCGTGTGAAGCGAGAGCTTCCCGTGGGGAGCAATTGATCCAACAAATAGCATCATGACCTGGAGTTTACCTGGAGAGAGTTCCGGGGGTCAACGCCCCCGCGGCCCGGCCTGTGACCAGGCCTCCTGGTGGATCAGAGCCTGATCAACCAGGCTGTTACTGCTGGCTGCACGCAATCCAACGTACGAACCACAGCCCGGCTGCTCAGGTACCGACTTTAGGTGCTTGTCCAGTGCCTGCTTGAAGACTGCCAGGGGTCTGTTGGTAATCCCCCTTATGTATGCTGGGAGGCAGTTGAACAGTCTCGGGCCCCTGACACTTACTGTATTATCTCTTAACGTGCTAGTGACACCCCTGATTTTCATTGGGGGGATGTTGCATCGTCTGCCAAGTCTTTTGCTTTCGTAGTGAGTGATTTTCGTGTGCAAGTTCGGTACAAGTCCCTCTAGGATTTTCCAGGTGTATATAATCATGTATCTCTCCCGCCTGCGTTCCAGGGAATACAGGTTCAGGAACCTCAAGCACTCCCAGTAATTGATGTGTTTTATCTCCGTTATGCACGCCGTGAAGGTTCTCTGTACATTTTCTTGGTCAGCAATTTCACCTGCCTTGAAAGGTGCTGTTAGTGTGCAGCAATATTCCAGCCTAGATAGAACAAGTGACCTGAAGAGTGTCATCATGGGCTTGGCCTCCCTAGTTTTGAAGGTTCTCATTATCCATCCCGTCATTTTTCTAGCAGATGCGATTGATACAGTGCCCTTTCCATTACTGTGATCTGATCCTCTCTTCAATGCTAATGTAAATAACTCAGTTTACCTTATTGCTAGTATATCTCCTTTTATTGTATCTGCTTTTCACATAGTTGAATTACTTAGCTGTTTTGATGAATGCTTTGAAAAACCGACAAGTTGAAGATTGAGACACTTATGCAGCATATGGGAATCTTTATTCAGGAAACATTTCGCCACACAGTGGCTTCATCAGTCCAATACAAAGAGGAAGGCGTAAGGAGAGGAGGAGTATGAGGTAATCAGTCCCTCAGCCTGGAGTCGATGTGTTCAGTCCATCAATCTTGTAGAATGTACAGCATAGATCCGTAGACGTGGCTTATATACTGTAGTGAGGTGAGGTGAAGCAGGCGGAGGCGGGGTCATAGTTGTACCATCCACTAGTCGAAGTAGGTCTTCGTCCAAAGGTTGAACAAGTGTTGAAGAATTCTTTGTAACAAAATCCCATGATGCTGCAGTGTCTGACAGTTGTGATGAATGCTTTGAAAAACCGACAAGTTGAAGATTGAGACACTTATGCAGCATATGGGAATCTTTATTCAGGAAACGTTTCGCCACACAGTGGCTTCATCAGTCCAATACAAAGAGGAAGGCGTAAGGAGAGGAGGAGTATGAGGTAATCAGTCCCTCAGCCTGGAGTCGATGTGTTCAGTCCATCAATCTTGTAGAATGTACAGCATAGGGCCGTAGACGTGGCTTATATACTGTAGTGAGGTGAGGTGAAGCAGGCGGAGGCGGGGTCATAGTGGTACCATCCACTAGTCGAAGTAGGTCTTCGTCCAAAGGTTGCACAAGTGTTGAAGAATTCTTTGTAACAAGATCCCATGATGCTGCAGTGTCTGACAGTTGTGATGAATGCTTTGAAAAACCGACAAGTTGAAGATTCCCATATGCTGCATAAGTGTCTCAATCTTCAACTTAGCTGTTTTAACTTTTAAGGTCGACATAAGATATTACAAGGATCCCAGTGGAAATAAGTCACTTTGCCTGACTTTTTTTTTGTTATCCTAGGTAATTTACACATATGGTGTTATGTATGATAATTTATGTAACTGTATTTATGTGTACCGAGACCGGGCCGCGGGGGCGTTGACCCCCGAAACCCTCTGCAAGTATACCTGACTAAACCTAATAACAGCAGTAACAACCTGGTGTATGAGGCCCTGATCCACCGCGAGGCCTGGTCACAGATCAGGCCGCGGGGGCGGTGACCCCAGAAACCCTCTCCAGGTATACCCAGGTATGAACATCAAAATGGTATACAATACCGACAGGTAGTTAGGTAAGACACATATGCAACAGTTAGACAACTTTATTCAGTGGCCTCTCACTACTACTACTACTACTACTACCCTGCACCTCTCCTTCCGACAGTATTTAAGTCTCCGCACTGTCGCTTGATCTTCAGATAGTTCCTGACTATGGAACTGAACTTCTCCAGGCCGAGGGACTGACAACCTCAAATTCTACGACTTTAAGGGTGATGGACTGATTACATCGTCTTCACATCTCTACTGTTCCTGCCTACTTTCTGTATTCGACTGAAGAAGCCTACTGTGTAGGCGAAACGTTTCGGAATAAAGTTGTCTAACTGTTGCATATGTGTCTTACCTAACTACCTGTCGGTATTGTATACCATTTTGATGTTCATCTTGTCAGACACTGCAACACGTGGCATCTTGGTACAGAAAACACCCTGGACAAGCTTTTCAAGTGAGAAGTGTTGGATCTGAGAGGGACATGACCTCTCAGTGGCCTCTCACTACTACTACTACTACTACTACTACTACTACTACCCTGCACCTCTCCTTCCGACAGTATTTAAGTCTCCGCACTGTCGCTTGATCTTCAGATAGTTCCTGACTATGGAACTGAACTTCTCCAGGCCGAGGGACTGACAACCTCAAATTCTACGACTTTAAGGGTGATGGACTGATTACATCGTCTTCACATCTCTACTGTTCCTGCCTACTTTCTGTATTCGACTGAAGAAGCCTACTGTGTAGGCGAAACGTTTCGGAATAAAGTTGTCTAACTGTTGCATATGTGTCTTACCTAAATACCCAGGTATACTAACTTGTGCTCTGACCACTGAGCTACGTTCTTCGTCTGTTTTTCGCGCCATAATTTTTAAGTGGCGCCATCTAGGTGGAAAGTTAGCGCGGGAAGCTCCCATGGAGAGATGTAAACACAACAACATATCATGGATATAGTTCATTACTTAGAAAAATTAAAAGTTTCTGACGATCTCTTCAAGGATGTAAAGTTTTATGTAACAGGGAAGGTACCTGAGGAGGTTAGTGAGCAACATTTTCTTCAGCAAAATATTATTTGAGGGAACTATTAAGAAGATGTAATGGATTTTTTTTGTCTATTTTATTACGAAGGACTGACAAAAGAACGGGTAGAAACCAAGTTGGTAATGGCCAAAAAGTGTCTGTAAAAAGAACTGGTAATAGATAGAGAAAAAGATATCTTTAAAGTGGTAATTTTCAGGGTTTCCGTGTAACAGCTCAGTATTCCGGCCATGGTTTTCTCAGTGTGGTCAGTATATTTTGTTTTTAGGACTTTTTAACTTTTATCAGTTCCTAGGATCATCATCCCTCAGGCTTTGTTTCTTTTTGTTTTAAATAATTGTCTTGTATTAACAGCTAAAACTGAGCCTCCAGAACATTATGACATTACTACAATGAATACAATGACCAGTCTAGACATAAAACTTAGAACTGCAATAGAACATAGGCATTATACAGGAAACTAACATCAGGATTAGTTTATCATCAGGTTGCTTGTCTTACAAGAAAGTTTTGTTCGGACTATTAACCTGGAAGGTTAGTAACCCAAGATAACCCAAACAAAACAAATTTTATTTTTTTCTGCAGTATACAAAGTGTAGTTTACATGTAATAAAATATTGTTAAGCACAAAACAAAACCATGGGTACTGTGTCTTTTTTTTCATTAGGGTCCTTTAATCCACTGTCCTGGATAAAACCTGTATTTAACACCTAGGTGCAAATTTTATGCTAAGTGAACAAACCCAATGTTATTACCTGTGCCAGGGAGCAAACCTCAGTGTAAGTTTATTAAGGCACAGGTTCACATAGATACAATTATCATACATAGTGTAAATTATATAGGATAACCCAAAAAGTCAGACAAAGTGATTTATTTCCTTTGGGATGAGCTGAGGATGCTACTGTCACTTCAAATTATGGATACAGTGTTGTACAGTACTGCACTGGTATACATTTTTAATTATATTATTGTTGTTTTCCAGGTCTTGAAACTTCTCACAGATGGAGGAGCAAAAGAAGATGCACACATCACAGATTACATGACACATCTTATTGTAGGAGATGAACCAGATGAAAATGACATTGGAGAAGTGAAAGATATATATGAAAAACCTGTTGTAACTCCAAGATGGGTTGTGCTGTCTGTCAAGTGTGGTAAACAGCTACCGTATCCTTTATGCTAGATATTATTCTGGTTATAAAGGCACTGTCACCATTGTAGGAAAATGAGAATTTATTTTATAAAATATGTTACTGGTGGGAAGAAGTTTATTCATAATTATACAATCAGTTTGCACAGTGATTTATTATTGGCACTTATATGGTTAGCAGATTAACTTTTCTTGGTTCAAAGTAGAATGCTTACCTTGGAATAAATTGCCATAAATGGTTTACCCTTTCCATTTCTAATTGGAAATGTAAAATGATTTCAAGTAGAAAATTTTAAAGTAATGAGTGTAAATAGCGTGGAAACTGTTTACCCAATTTTCCCTAACTACACATTGCAGATGGGCAGGATTCTCTCCTGATATCAGTCAGGTATTCTCTGGTGTGACAGCATGTGTAACACGTCTTAGTCTTGCCGACACCCTTGCGGTGTGGGGAATGATTACCTTTGCTGGAGGGAAGTGCAGTCTTGTCTTAACTAACTCCTGCACTCATCTTATTGTTGGAAAGCCTGAAGGGGTAAGACAGTGTTTGCAAGACTTAAATGTCTAGTGGGTGAAGATACATGAAGATACATGTAATACATGTATTACATGTATCTAATGGGGATGATTCATGTGTATTGGAAGATGGAGATGATATCTAGTTTGAGATGATGCATGTGTCTAGTTCAAGATGATACATGTTTTAGTGGGAGATGATACATGCACTGTATAGATTCTCAAATTCAGGTAGGCTTGGACATAAAATTATAGCTTGGCTTTTAAAATATTTAAACAAATTGCCTTATTTTATGATTTAATTTATGCTAACCTTAAGTACAGAGATGTTGTATGCTGCATCATTTTCTGACCTGTATCTGAAAACTCTTCTTCGAAGAAGGTGCCTTGAAACTGGTGAAGGACTTCAGGGCCAAGGAATAGAAGCTACACTCCCTTTCCTTGGATCAAGTCTGATTACCTTCCATTCCCCAAGCATTGTGTACCTCTATGGGTTAAGCCTTTCCCCATTATTTTAATAATTTTAATACAAGGACATATGAATTAAACAAAAGAATAGAAAAGAGATTACTGTACAGTATATGGATACTACTGCCAAAAGTCTAAATGATGTGAAAAGAAAGAAAAAATGGTTGGAATCTTCCCATCAATTTTTTTTATCATAGCAGTGAACTGAGGATAGAAACCAAACCAAATTATATAAAAACAGAAAATCAGAGAAACTAGTAAATTAAGGAAGAATTTTGTATACAATGTTAAGGTCAGAAGGAACTGCAATTTTTCTAACATAATTCAGCATTTAGTGGTTTTCCTTTTTCATTTTTTAATCTGTAAAATAATGTGGCACTTTCCAGAGCGTAATGACTTTGAGCCTACTCACATTCAATGCTGCATATCGGTAAAGTATATATATGCTGTATTCATGTATTTTTATTTATATGTATTGTCTCAGTTTTCATTTTGAATTAATTTTTACTTCTTCAGGCTAAATATAACTGTGCTTTGGAGAATGAAGATCACATAAACATTGTCACTCCTGATTGGGTACCAGAATGTCTTGCTGAAGGAAGTAAAGTAGATGAAATTGAATATCATCCACGCCTTTTAAAACAGCCAAAGTCTCACACAAGCTCTGAGCCAAGTATTGTTAGGAATAGAAAAAAGAAAAATGTTTCTCATCATAAGAGTGAAGAAATAAAAAAAAAGGAAGAGCTTAAGAGCAAAGAACCTGAAAAGTTCTCCTTCGATGCTCTAGAGTTTAGTGATGAAGAAGAAAATAGTAAGGGTGGCTCATTGTTAGATCAGCTTAAAACTTCCCAGACATGGAAACAACCTGTTACTAAACCAACTGTGACAACACGAGCTTCTGCTAGCTCCACTTCCACCACCTCTATTTCTCTTGACAAGCCCAGAGCTCCACCGACAGCACCCATCTTGACAACAACTCCACAGACTGTGACATCTCGTTCAGTCACACCTCAGCCAATACCTGCCCCTAAAGGAGTGGCTCAGAGTGTATCACAAGCATTACTTCAAAATACAGCTCAAGGATTGCCACAGGTTGCCATTCCAGTAACATCTCAAGGTTTACCACAGGTTGCCACTCCAGTAACATCTCAAGGGTTGCAGCAGGTTGCCACTCCAGTAACATCACAAGGTTTACCACAGGTTTCCACTTCAGCAACATCTCAAGGTTTGCAGCAGGCTGCCACTTCAGTAACATCTCAAGGTTTGACGCAGGTTGCTACTCCAGTAACGTCTCAAGGTTTACAGCAGGTTGCCACTCCAGTAACATCTCAAGATTTGCCACAAGTTGCCACTCCAATAATATCTCAAGGTTTGCAGCAGATTTCCACCCCAGCAACATCTCAAGGTTTGCAACAAGTTACCATCCCAGTAACATCTCAAAGCTTGCCACAGGTTGCCAGCCAGGTAACATCTCAAGGTTTGCCGCAGATTTCCACTCCAGGAACATCTCAAGGTTTACAGCAGGCTGCCACTTCAGTAACATATCAAGGTTTGCCACAGGTTACCACCCAAGTAATATCTCATAGTTTGCCACAGGTTGGAGCTCATGTAATATCTCAAGGTCTGTCACAGGTTGCCACCCAGGTGACGTCTCAAGCATCTCGTACTGTATCAACATTAGGTCCTCTTATAAGTACAAAAGCACCACCTGGTTCACAGAATCCCCAGTCTGTAGTTGCAGTATCAAGCCACAATCCCATTCAGGGTTCACTTGCAGAGACTTCCATGCTTCGTAATTCATCGCACTTGCCAAGTCAGACGCCAACATCAGTCCCTACAACGATAGCAGAAGTTTCAACAACAGCATCTGCTCCAGGTCAGTCCAGTTTCTTATGCCAAAATTAAATTTGTTATCATAGGCTTGTAAATTAAATAATTAAAAAAATACAGTAGCATAGTGCATAGAGAGAGTATAGTTTTAATACAGCCTCTCCTCCCTTACCGATGTACAGTGGTTCCTCGTTCGTAATTAATCCGTTCCTGGAGCCGTTACTATAAACGAAATTTACGATTTACGAATCAATTTTCCCCATAAGAAATAATGTAAATACAATTAATCCGTTCCTGACACCCAGAAGTATTAAAACAAAAAAATTTTTAACATGAAATATACATGTAGTACATAAACAATACAATGGGAAATGATGAATGAAACATTAACAGCATAACACTTACCTTTATTGGAGATTCTTCTTAGTGTATGGGAGACTGGAGGAGGAGAGAGAGTGGATTGTTTATAGTTTGGAAGGGGAATCCCCTTCCATCAACACCTCAGGTACCATTTGCTTTTCTGGGGTTGCTTCTCTTCTCTGTTTCTTAATACCACTAGGACCACCTTGAGAGTCACTGGAGTCCTGTCTCACAAAATAACTGTGGAGAGAGCTCTGTTTCTGGCATCTCTTTAACACTTCCCTAAAATGGCCCAAGACTTTGTCACTGTACATGTTGCCAACCTGGCTTGCAACAACCTTGTTAGGGTGATGTTTCTCCATAAAGCTTTCCATCTTACCCCACATAGTAAAAATCTCTTTAATTTCTGAAGAAGGCACCTTCTTCCATCTCTCTTCCTCCTCCTCTGCAGCTGCGATGTGTTGCTCTTCCTGCTGAAGCTCTTGCAGCTCCTCAGTGGTGAGCTCTTCATTGTGGTCTTCCACCAATTCTTCCACATCCTCCAAACTCACATCCAACCCCATGGAACTCCCCAGTGCCACAATTGATTTTACAACAGACAGGCTCATTAGGGTCAGTCCCAAATCCTTCAAAATCCCTCTTGTCGACACAATCTGGCCACAATTTTCTCCAGGCAGAGTTCAAAGTCCTGGTAGTCACTCCCTCCCAAGCCATACCTATAAGGGTTATGCAGTGGAGGATGCTGAAGTGTTCTCTCCAAAATTCCCTTAGGGTCAAGTGAGTGTCTGTGGTCACAGTCAAGCACCTGTGAAACATTGCTTTGTGTAGAGTTTTTTAAAGTTTGCAATAACCTGCTGGTCCATGGGTTGGAAGAGAGGAGTGGTATTCGGGGGCAAGAACTTTACTGTGATGAACCCAAACTCCTCGAAAATTAGGTCATCCAAGTTTGGAGGATGAGCAGGTGCATTGTCCATTACTAGCACGCACTTGAGATCCAATTTCTTTTCCAGGAGATACTCCTTCACACTAGGGCCAAACACTTCATTGAACCACTCGACGAAAATTTCCCTCGTGACCCATGCCTTACTATTAGATTTCCAAAACACACACAATTTACTCTTCATAACATTGTTTTTCCTGAACACTCTGGGATTTTCAGAATGGTACACTAGTAATGGCTTCACTTTGAAATCCCCACTAGCATTAGCGCAGAACATTAGCGTTTGCCTGTCTTTCATAGGCTTATGTCCTGGCATTGCCTTTTCCTCTTGTGTAATTAAGGTCCTCTTTGGCATTTTCTTCCAAAAGAGGCCTGTTTCGTCACAATTGAACACTTGTTCAGGTTTCAGTCCTTCAGCCTCTATGTACTCCTGGAATTCATGCACATATTTTTCAGCCGCCTTGTGGTCCGAACTGGCAGCCTCACCATGCCTTACCACACTGTGTATGCCAGTACGGTTCTTAAATCTCTTAAACCAGCCTTTGCTGGCCTTAAATTCACTCACTTCACCACTATTTGCAGGCAATTTCTTTACCAAATCTTCATGCAACTGCCTAGCCTTTTCACAAATAAACGAAGTCATAAGAGTATCTCCTGCTAATTGTTTCTCATTTATCCACACCAATAATAACTTCTCAACCTCTTCCAGTACTAGTGATCTCATTTTTGTCAGCATAGTTACTCCCTTTGCGACAACAGCATCCTTTATTTCATTTTTCTTGGCCACTATGGAACATAAGGTTGTGTAGGGTTTCTTATACATCCTGGACAGTTCAGCCACACTTGTACCACTTTCATATTGTTCAATGATGGTTTTCTTAAGTTCAATCGTATTTCTCACCTTCTTTACCACAGGCTTGGCACTAGGAGCTTTCTTTGGAGCCATGGTAGCTTATTTAGTACTTGCAAGCACTAAAATAAATGGAATATTATGAAATATTTCGCTGGAGCACGTGAGGGGACCTTCGCTCACTGGTAAACAATGCCAGACTGGCTGCCGCCCTGGCTCACGCCGTGCGTACGCGTCCCGGACGAACTACGACTCGCGAGTCAACCTATGAAAAGCGAGTCCATGTTTATACGAAAATACCCCTATGATTGGCGAATTTTACGATTGCCGGGAACTACGAAAAGCGGGGGACCACTGTACTCGGTTACCGACGACTCGGACTTAGGACGGGCTCTCTGACCAGTATGCATACCTAAATACGTAATGTATATTAGAGCTGATTTCCTCTGTTCTGTTTATTACAATATACAGTACACTACTGTATAAACATTTAAAAATATACCAGAAATGTTATAAATGGTGCAAAGGTGACATTAAAACATTATCTAAGATAGTTGACACAAACCCACTACCATTATAGTATGCTCCTCACTTAGTGATGAATTCGTTTACCGACGAGGTTTCAGGAACAGAACTCTGTTGTTAAGTGAGGAGAGGGTGTACAGAAGTTTTTCCCTTGAATATACCGGCACATAGGAGAGAGAAGCTTATGACGACATTTCAGTCCGACTTGGACGAAGTGACTTGTAAATGGTCCAAGTCAGATCGAAACATCATCATAAGCTTCTCTTTCTTGTGTGCAGGTTATTTGTGTATTGTTCCAGTCACGGTATTATGCCTTTTCTTTTGAAGTTCATAGTATATACAACCTTTTGGGGAAAGTCTAAAATTAACATGTCATTTATAAGTGTTGGCTCAGGACTTTTCTTTAGAACACTTAGGGTTTGTAGCCCACAATACCTTGACCAAGAGAAGAAACTGATCTGCAGGAAATTCAATAAATTAGGTTACCCTAAATGGTTTTTACAGTTAAGGCTCACTAAATCTAATAGAAATTACTGTAGCTCACAACACTGACACCATTCAAAATACAGTGGAACCTCGGTTTTTGTCTTTAATTCATTCCAGAGAGTCTGATGAAAACTGAAGAAATATTTCCCATAAGAAATTATGTAAATCCGATTAATCCGTTCCAGACACCCAAAATTATTAACAAAAAAATACATTTTATAGAGAGTAACTATAGTTTTACATACAGAAAACAATGAAAAAATAAATATGAAATGGATTAATGAACATTTAAATCACTTTTACCTTTATTGAATACTCTTGTTGGCATATGGAAGATGGCGAGGAGGGGAGAGGGAGGAGAGGTTATCTCTACCACCATCACTACCACCCTCTTCCACCATCACTACCACCCTCTACCACCATCACTACCACCCTCTACCACCATCACTACCACCATCACTACCACCGTCACTACCACCCTCTACCACCCTCTACCACCATTGAATTCTATCGTGTTTCTCGCCTTCTTTATCAAGGGCTGGCGCTCAGAACATTCTTTCGCCCCGTGGTGGCTTATTTAGCAGTTTCACTCAATAAACAAGCATAAAAAACCATAGATTATTACAAAATGTTTCATTTGAATGCACAGAGTAACGTTCACTCGACGAGACACAAAGCCAGACTGACTCACAGTACGTGCGTGGGATGCTTTGTGTGAGTGCAGGCAGACGGACACGTTCAGTATGGTGGATGAAATTCGAAGTGATGAACGAAAACTGGCACAATGTATTTTGATGAAAAAAGTCGTCGAAAATTGAATTCGACGAAAAGCAGGGCAAACGAAAACCAAGGTTCTACTGTGTACACATCGACTTGTCCTGTATCATAAAACCACATGCGACAACCTGTATAAGGTCACTAAAATTATACCTTATTATGCCAACAGCTTAGTCTGTTTATCTGAAGACCACAAGACACCTATATTCCATTCAATACCATGCAAGGATTGTAACCTATTGTACATAGGGTAAACTTGTAAAAACCTAGGCACAAAAATCTCTAAAAACAAATGATCCACTAGGTATACACAAGAGAATTCAACCATTTTTTTTCTTTTTTTGTATGTTAAAACGTGGCTACAACATTCACTGGGAGGCAGCAAAAATATTGCACAAATTCAGTAGCATGTTGAAATGAAAATCATTGAAGCAGTGCCACTGCTAACTTCAGCATTTCTTAAGACTGCATATATGCAGTGTTTTTACCAAATTTGTTGGCAAGTCTTTCCATCCAATACAAGAAATATTGTCTAGTAGGAAACTAGACAGTTTCCTACAGGATGTGCTTAATTGGCTGGACTGTGATGTCTGTGGGGGTCTGTGGGCTACAGGTAGAAATACTCTGGCTGATTAAGAAATTACCAAAGAAATCTGTTCAAAGACTAGGCTGCATGACTAGGAAGCCTATCTAAATGGGTCACAGATATGTTATAGGCATAGTAGGTGGTGTGTACAGAACTATAATTTTATGTATCACTAATTTTTTTTTATCCCTTACAGTTAATAGCTCTCGGCTAATACCACCCACCTCTTCTCGTGTTGCACCTCCAAGTGCTGTCCGTGTTAATCCTCCAAATATATCGAGAGTTACTCTACCCACTGCCACCAGGGTAACTCCTCCCAATAATTCTCGGGCAACTCCACCTAATGCATCTCGGACAACTCCTCCAAACGCATCTCGTTCAACTCCACCAATGGTTTCACGTGCAGCTACACCCATTTCTTCTCGGACGACCCCTCCCATACCTGCACGGGCAACTCCCCCAGCAAACTCCCGTACCACACCTCCAATAACATCTAGGACCACTCCTCCAATTACTTCACGTGCTACACCTCCAGCAAGTGCCCGAGTAACACCTGAAATTATTTTTCGCTTAACTCCTCCTAATGTGGCTGGATCAGTACCACGTGTACCTTCAATGCCCGTCACTGTTGCTGGCTCTTCTGTTCGTGCTCCAGGAGCAGTGTCACAAGTTTCACCAGGTGGCATTCCCACACCTAATATGCCAAGCACTGTTCCACAGCAAGTACATTCAGTAAGTTGATGAGTACACCTTTACATGTCATGATAAGATAGAATTTTATTGACTTATGCTCTCCTGTGTTACATGGTACCAACACTGAATTCGTTTCTTGATTTTAACATTTAATTTTTTCTTTGAAATAGGTTGCTATTCCGGGAGCAGTTGTTCGTCTTCCACAAGGAGTGACGCCTCATCAGCTACAAATGATGTCACCCAATGATCGACAGGCATTCCTTCATAATCTTCATCAAAAGCAAATTCAAGAGCAACAAACTAGAGGAAAGCCAAGAGCAGGAAAACCTTCTGGTCCACAAGTGAGTTATGGGTATAAAACAATAAAAAGTGTTATTTTAAAGAAACTTTCAGTTTGGAAAAATATCAAATGGTAGTTTGTGACCATTAGACACATTATCATCTATTGGTTACAGAAGTTTAGTTTCAAGTCTAATAGCATTTTTTAAAATGAATTATTTGTGAGCCTGGTTCCAGGATCCTACAGCAATTTTCACCTGATAGTGAGGACGCATACAGTGGAACCTCGGTTTTTGTCCTGTTCCAGTTATCGTACAATTCAGTTTTTGACCACTTTTCGGTGAAATTTTCCCCATTTTCATACATCCGCTCAGAAATCGTCCATACCAGACACGTACGCCTGCCCATGGGACACAGCCATTTGTTACTCAGTCTGCCTTTGTTACTCGTAGAGGGTGGTAATGGTTGTGATGGTGATAGAGGGTGGTAGTGATGGTGGTAGAGATAACCTCTCCTCCAACTCCCTCCTCACCGTCTTCCAAATGCCAACAAGAGTCTTCATTATAGGTAAAAGTGATTTAAATGTTCATTTATCCATTTCATTGGTGCTTTATATTTATTTCTCATTGTTTTCTGTATTTAAAACTATAGTTATTCTTTATAAAATGTATTTTTTGTTCATATTTTTGTGTGTTTCCATGGAGAAGTGGAACAGAATTCTTCCTCCGTAAGCCATGCGTGTCGTAAGAGGCGACTAAGATGCCGGGAGCAAGGGGCTAGTAACCCCTTCTCCTTTTATATTACTACGTAAATATGAAAGGAGAAAGTTTTGTTTTTCCTTATGGGCCACCCCCGCCTCAGTGGGATATGGCCGGTGTGTTGAAAGAAAGAAAGATTTTTGGGTGTATGGAATGGATTAATTGGATTTACATTACAGTGGAACCTCAGTTTTCATCATTAATTCATTCCAGAAAGTCTGACGAAAACCGAATTTGACGAAAACTGAAGCAATATTTATCATAAGAAATAATGTAAATCCAATTAATCCATTCCAGATACCCAAAAGTATTAACAAAAAATACATTTTACAGAGAATAACTATAGTTTTACATATTGAAAACAATGAGAAATAAATATAAAGGACTAATGAAATGGATAATATCACTTTTACCTTTATTGAAGACTCTTGTTGGCATATGGAAGACACGAGGAGGGGAGAGGGAGGAGGAGAGGCTATTGGTTGGAAGGGGAATCCCCCTCCATAAGGACTTCAGGTATCAAGTCCCTATCCAGGGTTACTTCCCTTCTTTGTCATTTACTGGCACTGCACAAAAAAATCTGTCCACAAAGGTCTGTTTCTGGCATCTCTTTAAGATTTGCCTAAAATGGGACAAGGCATTGTCATTGAACATGTTGCAGACAGCTTGCAACAGCTTTGTTAGGGTGATATTTCTCCACAAAACTTTGCAACTCGCTCCACTTTGCACACATGTCCTTAATCACTGAAGAAGGCACATTCTCTCCTCCTCTGAAGCAATTTCCTCAGCTGCAATCTGTTGCCGTTCCAGTTGAAGGTGTTGCAGCTCTTCAGTGGTTAGCTCTTCCCTGTGGTTGTCCACCAACTCTTCCACATCCTGGCCACTCACATCCAACCCCATGGACTTCCCCAAAGCCTTAGTAGATTCCACAACAGGTGTAGGGTTGTCAGGGTCAGCCTCAAACCCTTCACAATCCTTCTCTTGAACACATTTTGGCCACAATTACTCGCCTTCTTCATCGAAGGGCTGGCACTCAGAACTTTCTTTGGCCCCTGGTGGCTTATTTAGCAGTCACACTCAATAAGCAAGCACAAAAAACAATAGATTATTATGAAATGTTTTGGATGAACACGCAGGGTATTGCTCACTTGACGAGAAACAAAGCCAGACTGACTCAGAATGCGTGGGATGCTTTGTGTGGGCACAGGCATGTGGACACGTTCAGTACTGCGGACCGACGAAAACCGTGGTGATGAACGAAAACTGGGACAAAATTTTGATGAAAAAAGTCGTCAAAAACCAAATTCAACAAAAACCAGGGCAAATGAAAACTGAGGTTCCACTGTACAGTGAACCCCTGGTTAACGATATTTCTTCACTCCAGAAGTATGTTCAGGTGCCAGTACTGACCGAATTTGTTCCCATAAGAAATATTGTGAAGTAGATTAGTCCATTTCAGACCCCCAAACATACACGTACAAAAGCACTTACATAAATACACTTACATAATTGGTCACATTCGGAGGTAATCGTTATGCGGGGGTCCACTGTATTTCTTATGGGAAATATAACTTCAGTTTTTGTACAAATTGGTTTTCGGCCGACCTGGAACTGATTAAAGATGAAAACCGGGGTTCCACTAAGCATTCCCCACTAAATTCTATCCAAACTGTAAATACAGTGGACATAATTCAGTGTCTAGTAAATACAGTATTGTACCTAAAATATTTTGTTCAATGTTCCACAATCTTTGTCAACACAGCCCCTCAAGGAAGGTTCCTTGATGTTGGTGAGGGGCTCCTGATTTAGGGAATTGGATCTGTGCTCCAGTTCCCCGAATTAAGCCTGAATATGCCTTCCACAACCCCCCCCCCCCCCTCGCCAGGCGCTGTATAATCCTCCGGGTTTAGTGCTTCCCCCTTGATTATAATAATAATAATAATTGTCAACACAGAAGTAATAAATCATTATTATTTTGTTAAGGAGAAGATCAGCATAGACAGGTAGAAATATTTTTTGTCAATACTAATCTCTTTAAATGGTTAGTTTGTCTTGTATTATCTTTTTATTTTCATCATGTATCATTTAATTTTCAGTATAAGCCTGGTGTTCGCTATGCTTCATCTGGTATGCATGTTGCTGCTCCGGGAACTCCTCCAACACCTGGTACACCAGTTTCAACCTGGCCAGGGCCAAGTCAAGGCACCCCAGGCGTTCGACCCACCATGACCACTGTTGGTCCTGGAACTGTTTCAGTGTCATATCCAGCTGCTCAGCTACTTACACAGGCTCCAGGAGCTCCTCCAGTTGGCTCACCTGGAAATTCAGGGGATGGTGTACGACCTGGTTGGCCAAGTCAAGGACAGCAACAGTACCAAGGTCAACCTGCTCCAGGTACTCGAGTGGTTGTTGGTCAAGCTGGTTGGCAACCACAGCAACAGCAGCAGCAGCAACAGCAAGCAGGGCTAAGACCACAAACTCCAGCACCTGGGCAGCAGCCAACACCTCAAGGGTTATTACCTCAGCATATGCAACAATTTCAATTACAGATTCAACAGCTCCGTCAGCAGTTTCCTCACTTGTCATATCAGGATGCTTCGCAACTTATTCAACGTATTCCTACACACTTTCGGCATATTCAGCAACTAGATAATGCTCAGCGCAGTGATTATTTGGCTCAATTAGACACTAAAGAAAGACAGGTTGTCACATATTTTATATTGAGAAAACAACAACAACAACTATTTCAGCGTCAGCAACTTCTTCAGCAACAGCAGCAGCAGCAGCAGCAGCAGCAACAACAGCAGCAGCAACAGCAACAGCAACAACAGCAAAAAGTGGGAACCCCTCAGCAGTCACCACATGCATGGCAACAACAGCAACAGCCTGGGCCACAGCCAGGTCAACAACAGACTGTGCAAGGAGCACAGTACCCTCCAATGTCTCCACATGGGCGACCAATACCGGGTCATCCACTGCCCCAGGGATATCCTGGGTGTCAGCCAGCTGGTGTAGTATCTCCCGGTCAGGGATCTCCTCATATGGTGGCTAGTGGCCAGCTGACTCCTCAACAACTTACTCCACATGTATCACCTCTAGCATCCCCTCATGGTCATTCACCCATCCAACGTGTAGATGGACCTCTCATGGGTCATGCAGGAGTCATTCAGGGTTCATCTGTTCCTCAGAACCTGGTTAATCAACAGAATTTGGTTAATCCTAAAACAAAGACGGCTCTGGCTATTCACCTTACTAATAGATTGGCTGGGGGAGTTCACCAAGGAGTTATACCTCAGGGTCCTCAGGCTCCTCAGGGACCTATGGAAGTTCCTGCACATGTTGTACAAAAGCCTGGCATTCCACAAGAGGCCATTCAAGGTACAGTAGTTTCTGTTAAATTTTTTGTAACAAAAGTTCTCAGTTATTTGTACATAGTAATTAGTTTGTACTCTATTCTTTGGTTTATACTACATTAATATGTTGAAATTCATGGCAGTGAACTTTAGTACTCCCCTGTGTATTCAGCAGTTCAGACCTTTTCAGTCTGCAGGTAGTTTTTATTTTCCAACTTTTTGGTACAGAACTAACTTGATATTTTTGGCAGTGTAGTTAATTTGCATTAGTATTTAACAAGTGGATTTTAATCAATCCATAATGGAGCTGGTCATCCTCCCTTCATCACTGTCTATGTGAGAAACTGTACTCTCACATGAGCATATTGGTCACACCAGAGACACACACAGATGTCACATTGAGGGGGATCCCAGTACAACCACCATAGGAATTGTTAGTGAGGAAATTAAGACATGTTGCAGAATATGGTTTTATGAGGATAGTGTTTCACTCTAGACCTTTATCAGGTCATGACAATAAAGGCCTGTACAAAGCAAGAAGTCCCTCTTAAAACTCTTGCTGCACCATGTGTGTGTGTTTTCCTTTCTATTATTGGTAATGCAAAATTTGGATTCAATAATTGCCATGCTGTGCTGAGTCATACATTTTTTACTTCATCAGATATACCTTCGATGAATTTCAAGAGTCTCTATTTCTGGAGCCCATACATGGGCCTATTTATTGTTGACCTCTCCTTCACTGTCCTGACATGTCATCTCTGTCTGCCATGCTCTCTAACAGTCCCACCTTCAAAGCTAAAGTTTGAGTTTTTGTCTGATGATGGGCACTTGATGTAAAGAAATGTAGCCATTCTCCCTTTGCATGGATTCAATCTGATTGCCTCCTCTTTCTGAAGGTGCTATGTGACCCCCATGGGTTTAATGCTCCTACTTGAAACAAATTAAATGTAATTTTAATTCTTATTTTAAATCTTCTTTCAACAAACCGGCCGTATCCCACCAAGGCGGGGTGGCCCAAAAAGAAAAACTAAAGTTTCTCTTTTTAAATTTAGTAATTTATACAGGAGAAGGGGTTAGTAGCCCCTTGCTAAAAGGCATTTTAGGAGTCGCTCTTACAACAAGCATGGCTTACGGAGGAAGAATCTAAATTCCACTTCCCCATGGAGATAACAGGAAATGAACAAGAACTGTAAGAAAAAGAAGAAACCCAGAGGGGGGGGGTGGGGGGGTTTTGGGTGGGTGGGTGGGGGGGGGTTGGGTGGTGGGTGGGAGGGTGGTGGGGGGGGTGGGTGGGTGGGTGGGTGGGTGTGTGGGTGTTGTGGGGTGTGGTGGTGTGTGTGGGGTGTGTGTGGGTTGTTGGGTGTGTGTGGGGGGGTGTGTGTGTTGTGTGTGTGGGTTTGTGGTGTGTGTGTGTGGGTGTGTGTTGTATAATATATAAAATATATATATTTTATATATATAATATAATATATTTTTTTTTTTTTTTTTTTTCCCAAAAAGGTCGGGGCCGTCTCCCACCAGGCAGGGTGACCCAAAAAGAAAGAAAATCCCAAAAAGAAAATACTTCATCATCATTCAACACTTTCACACACTCGCACATATCACTGTTTTTGCAGAGGTGCTCAGAATACAACATCTAAAGCATACACATATAAAGATACACACCATATCCCTAAAAAATATTATATATATATTAATATATAAATATATATATAATATATATATTAAATATATATATATATATATATATATATATATATTTTTTTTTTTTTTTTTTCAACAAGTCGCCGTCTCCCACCGAGGCAGGTGCCCCCAAAAAAGAAAGAAAATCCCCAAAAAGAAAAACTTCAATCATCATTTCAACACTTCACCACCTCACCACATTATCACTGTTTTTGCAGAGGTGCTCAGAATACAACAGTCTAGAAGCATAAACATATAAAGAACACAACATATCCCTCCAAACTGCCAATATCCCAAACCCCTCCTTTAAAGTGCAGGCATTGTACTTCCCCTTTCCAGGACTCAAGTCCGACTATATGAAAAAATAACCGTTTCCCTGAATCCCTTCACTAAATATTACCCTGCTCACACTCCAACAGATCGTCAGGTCCCCAAGTACCATTCGTCTCCATTCACATCCTATCTAACACGCTCACGCACGCTTGCTGGAAGTCCAACCCCCGCCCACAAAACCTCCTTTACCCCCTCTCTCCAACCCTTTCGAGGACGACCCCTACCCCGCCTTCCTTCCCCTATAATTTATATGCTTTTCCATGTCATTCTACTTTGATCCATTCTCTCTAAATGACCAAACCACCTCAACAACCCCTCTTCTGCCCCCTGACTAATACTTTTTAAATTTAAATCCACACCTTCTCCTAATTTTTCCCCACTCCGAATTTTCTGCATAATATTACACCACAACATTGCCCTTAAACATGACATCTCCACTGCCTCCAACCGTCCCTCGCTGCTGCATTTACCACCCAAGCTTCGCACCCATATAAAAGTGTTTTGGGACTACATACTTTCATACATTCCCTTCTTTGCCTCCATAGATAAACGTTTTTTGACTCCACATATACCTCAACGCACCACTCACCTTTTTCCCTCATCAATTCTAAAGATTAACCTCATCCTTCATAAATCCATCCGCCGACACGTCAACTCCCAAGTATCTGAAAACATTCACTTTTTCCATACTCCTCCTCCCCAATTTGATATCCAATTTTTCTTTATCTAAATCATTTGACACCCATCACCTTACTCTTTTCTATGTTCACTTTCCCGCTTTCTACCTTTACACACATTCCCAAACTCATCCACTAACCTTTGCAATTTTCTTTAGAATCTCCCATAAGCACAGTATCAAACAGCAAAAAGTAACTGTGTCAATTCCCATTTTGAAATTTGATTCCCAAAATTTAATTCCCCCCCCCCTCTCCCGAACACCCTAGCAAATTTACTTCCTTTACAACCCCATCTATAAATATATTAAACAACCATGGTGACATTACACATCCCTGTCTAAGACCTACTTTACCCGGGAATAGCCCCCCTCTCTTCTACACACCCTAACCTGAGCCCCATAATATATATTATATATTTATATATATATATATATATAATTATATTAATATATATAATATAATATATGTTTGTTTGTTTGTTTGTACATGTATGTGTAGTGTGACCTAAGTGTAAGAAGAAGTAGCAAGACGTACCTGAAATCTTGCATGTTTATGAGACAGAAAAAAGACACAAGCAATCCTACCATCATGTAAAACAATTACAGGTTTCCATTTTACACTCACTTGGCAGGACGGTAGTACCTCCCTGGGCGGTTGCTGTCTACCAACCTACTACCTAGGTCTTGTTTTAAATGAAACTGATATATTAGGCTGTATCTTTTTCCCTTTGCCTTTGTGCTTATCATTGACTCACTTTCCTTCTAATGTCCACCTTACTATTGTCATGCATTGCTGAACTACCCTTCCTGGTATAGCACTTCTGAGCACTATAATAAAGAATTATTATTATTATTATTATTTTCAACAAACCGGCCATATCCCACCAAGGCAGGGTGGCCCAAAAAGAAAAACTAAAGTTTCTCTTTTTCTTCTTTCAACGTACCAGCCGTATCCCACCGAGGTGGGGTGGCCCAAAAGGAAAAATGAAAGTTTCTCCTTTTACATTTAGTAATATATACAGGAGAAGAGGTTACTAGCCCCTTGCTCCCGGCATTTTAGTCGCCTCTTACGACACTCATGGCTTACGGAGGAAGAATTCTGTTCCACTTCCCCACGGGGATAAGAGGAAATAAACAAGACCAAGAACTAGAAAGAAAATAGAAAACCCAGAGGGGTGTGTCTATATGTATGCGTAGTGTGACCTAAGTGTAAGTAGAAGTAGCAAGATGTACCTGAAATCTTGCATGTTAATGAGACAAAAAAGGACACCAGCAATCCTACCATTATGTAAAACAATTACAGACTTTCGTTTTACACTCACTTGGCAGGACGGTAGTACCTCCCTGGGCGGTTGCTGTTTACCAACCTACTACCTAAAATTATTATTATTATTATTTTAGTACAGTACAGAATATTGAATTCTCTTTGGAATAGCTGATTGTTAATCATGTATAAATTTTGCATTCTTTTAGGTCCAGGAGGTGAGCCAGTAATGCTGTATCAGCGTCGGGCATTGGGTAATATTACTGGCTCTGTGACTAATAATCTTGTTCGGCCTCCTGTGCCAGCAACTCCTGTTGGGGTTGTGGCTGCACATGGTTACCCTCGGCCTGCAGCACCCCCTCATCCTGCACCGACGCCAGTCATGGCTCCTGCTGCTCCTCATTACCCTCGACCACATTTGGTTGGTCATGATACTAATATTATGTGTAAGTCATTATATATTCATAGTAAAAATTTATTCCACAAAAAATGCAATGTGTGTGTAAATTTAAGTCAAGTTGTTGAGCCTCAGTTGCATAGTGCTAGTATGTGAATGGTGAACTATAGAACACTTAGGATATATGAGATTCAACTGCATATCTTATTTTAATATGATTTGATTTAATGTTACCTCGACCATTTTAATTTTTTAACAACTTATTTAAACTGACAAATTGTATCATATATAGTTTAAATTAAATTTTATTACATAAATTAAAACTATATAAGTAATAATGAAATATCAGGTTTTTGACTTCTTGTACAATTAGAATTAGGCTTTAGCACTTAATCAACCATACCCCCGGCCGGGATTGAACCCGCGGTCATAGAGTCTCAAAACTCCAGCCCGTCGCGCTAACCACTAGACCAGCTAGCCACAATAAGATTCATCCAACTAGGTATATTTCTACACCATAGGAAGGTTAGCACAGGCACCTCTGTGACCACAAATGCAAGTTTTTACAGACGAATCTCCAGCTAGCGTGGCCGTGACGAACTCTAGCTCAAGTCCCTTCACTGCCGTCAACATGACTTAAGAAATCGTAATGACACGATTGCAAATAAACCATACCCCCGGCCGGGATTGAACCCGCGGGTTCAATCCCGGCCGGGGGTATGGTTTATTTGCAATCGTGTCATTACGATTTCTTAAGTCATGTTGACGGCAGTGAAGGGACTTGAGCTAGAGTTCGTCACGGCCACGCTAGCTGGAGATTCGTCTGTAAAAACTTGCATTTGTGGTCACAGAGGTGCCTGTGCTAACCTTCCTATGGTGTAGAAATATACCTAGTTGGATGAATCTTATTGTGGCTAGCTGGTCTAGTGGTTAGCGCGACGGGCTGGAGTTTTGAGACTCTATGACCGCGGGTTCAATCCCGGCCGGGGGTATGGTTTATTTGCAATCGTGTCATTACGATTTCTTAAGTCATGTTGACGGCAGTGAAGGGACTTGAGCTAGAGTTCGTCACGGCCACGCTAGCTGGAGATTCGTCTGTAAAAACTTGCATTTGTGGTCACAGAGGTGCCTGTGCTAACCTTCCTATGGTGTAGAAATATACCTAGTTGGATGAATCTTATTGTGGCTAGCTGGTCTAGTGGTTAGCGCGACGGGCTGGAGTTTTGAGACTCTATGACCGCGGGTTCAATCCCGGCCGGGGGTATGGTTTATTTGCAATCGTGTCATTACGATTTCTTAAGTCATGTTTAGCACTTAATATATTGTCTGGGACAATTTTTTTTAAAACATTTCTCTGATTAAAAATAAATGAATAATAATGATAAATGCAGTACCACGGGAGCTATGCCTGGTGGGATGTGTTTTTTACATTGCTGACTATCATGGAGAAGTCACACTGGAGACACTACATACATGGAAGAGGGTTATACAGCAGCATGGTGGTGAAGTGAGTACTTGTACACAGCTTTACCAGCTTTAAGGTTTGATATACATGTAGAGACTCTGTTAATCAATGAGTCTGCTAGAATTGTTTGTTATTCAAGTAATAGATAAACTTTTTTTAACCTTAACATTTATTGTACTGTATTATATGTAAAATCAAGTAAGCAAAAGATGAAACTAATACTGCAGATATGTGAATGTCAGTTTTAAGAACTAATTAAAATTGAATTAATAGTCTATCTGGATATGTGGTACAGTATTATGTATATTGGAATGCTAATTTTTTTTTTTTTTTTTTTTTTTTTTTTTTTTTTTTTTTTTTTTTTTTAACACCAGGTAATGCCACTCTATGACTCTGCTCGTATTACTCATTTGCTGTGTAAGCATCAGAAGTCGCCAGTCTTTATGCAAGCTGTCCGTGAAAACAAACGCTGTATAACCATATTCTGGCTTAATGATGTTCTTCTGAGGGGTAAGATGGCCCCACCCTGGCAGGCTATACACCTTCCTACACCCTTTGGGTAAGATCTTACTCTGTGTTGAAATATCTATTTATGTAAGAAAAATTCGTAGTTGCATATTCTGTTGCATCATAATATATTTTTCCCCAGGAATGACAACAAACCATGTAAAGATCTGATTGTCAGTGTAAGCGGATTTGAGAATGAAGAAAGAACTATTATCAAGTTGATGTTACAACTTGTAGGAGCTAAGTACACTGGATACTTCTCCAAACATAATAGCCTCCTTGTTTGCAAAAAGTAAGTTAATTTTTTAATTTATCTAAATTCTTTGAATTCAAAATATACTGCCTCCCAGCCTGCATAAGGGAGATTACTGTGGAACCTCAAATATCAAACTTTCTTCGTTCCAGACGGCTGTTCGAGTGCCATTACCGAACAAATTTATTCCCATCAGGAATAATGCAAATTAGATTAGTTCATTTCAGACCCTTAACAATACACTTATAAAAGCATTTGCAAAAATACACTTAAGTAATTGGTTGAGTTGGGAGCAGTTCGATATTTGAGGTTCCACTGTACCAATAGATCCCTGGCTGTCTTTAAGAAGGCACTGGACAGGCACCTAAAGGCAGTACTTGACCAACTGGGCTGTGGTTTGTTCTTCAGCTTGCATGCAGCCAGTAGTAACAGCCTGGTTGATCAGACCCTGATCCACCATGAGGCCTGGTGTCAGACCGAGCTGCGGGGGCATTGACCCCCGAAACCCTCTCCAGGTAAACAACAAAGCTAAATCAAAATTCAGTACATTATCTGCATCTGTTGCTTTTCATACATTCTATTTAAACAACTGGGTAATGTGGAGACACTCCCTCATTCATTATTATTCTTCCATAATTCCATATACTCTTTACCTCTTTGTTCTGATGCTTCTTTTACCCATGTACACATATTCTTCCACCATTTATTTTCATCCCCTCTTTCTTACCTTTTCATTCCAATTAATTCTGTTTTTGTCAACCTGCTAACATTCATAATCTTGATACTCAAATTTTATATTTTTTGTGTAGCCCCCTCTTTATTATTTTATATACAGTATTACTACTACTCAGAATGGGAGTTGCATTCTCAGGAAGGGTTACTGAGAGAAAATTCTTTCAAAGCAAATCTAATTTATCACAGCCTGTCTTCCTAAACCAACAGTCAATGTATCACATAAGATTTTAATAAAATCAAATTTCTCAATACATTTTACATAGGTATTTTTCTCCATCACTGTCTTGTCAGAGGTGTTCTTACACTACAATTATAAAGCTGCAACATTAACATCCCTCATTCAGAGTGCAGGCACTGTACTTCCCATCTCCAGGACTGAAGTCCGGCCTGCCAGTTTCCCTGAATCCCTTCATAAATATTACCCTGCTCACCCTCCAACAGCACGTCAAGTCCTAAAAACCATTTGTCTCCATTTGCTCCTATCTAACACACTTGTGCATGCTTTCTGGAAGTCCAAGCCACTTGCACACAAAACCTCCTTTACCCCCCCCCCCTTCCAACCTTTCTTAGACCGACTTCTACCCCACCTTCCCTCCACTACACATTTATACACTCTCAGTCATTCTGTTTTGTTCCATCCTCTCTACGTGTTCAAACCACCTCAACAGCCCCTCCTCAGCCCTCTGGATAATAGTTGTGGTAATCCTGCACCTCCTCCTAATTTCCAAACTACGAATTCTTTTAATTATATTCACACCACACATTGCCCTCAGACATGACACCTCCACTGCCTCCAGCCTTCTTGTTATAACATTCACTACCCATGCTTTGCACCCATATAAGAGAATTGGTATAACTATACTCTTATACATTCCCCTCTTTACTTCCATGGACAAACTTCTTTGTCTCCACAGACTCCTCAGTGCACCACTCACCTTTTTTCCCCTTGTCAATTCTATGACTCGCCTCATCTTTCCTAGACCCATCTGCTGACACGTCCACTTCTAAATATCTGAATAAGTACATTCACCGCCTCCATACTCTCTCCCTCCAATCTGATATCCAATCTTTCGTTACCTAATTTTTTTGTTATCCTCATCACCCTACTCTTTCCTATATTCACTTTTAATTTTCTTCTTTTACATACCCTACCAAACTCATCCACTAACCTCTGCAACTTCTCTTCAGAATCTCCCAAAACCACAGTGTCATCAGCAAAGAGCAACTGTGACAACTCCCACTTTGTGTTAGATTCTTTATCTTTTAACCCTATACCTCTTGCCAACACCGAGCATTCACCTCTCTTACAACTCCATCAATAAATATATTAAACAACCATGGTGACATCACACATCCTTGTCTAAGGCCTACTTTTACTGGGAAATAATCTCCCTCTCTCCTACATACTCTAACCTGAGCCTCATTATCCTCGTAAAAACTTTTCACCGCTTTTTATAACGTACCTCCCATTCCATACATTTGCAACATCTGCCACATTGGCCCCATGTCCACCCTGTTATATGCCTTTTCCAGATCCATAAGCACCACAAAAACCTATTTACCTTTATCTAAATACTGTTCACCTATATGTTTCACTGTACACCTACCATCCGACTTACGACCTGCTCGACTTACGACCACTCGACTTACGACCTTGTTTTTTATGCCAAATTTCTGGGAAATAAACAACTATTTGAGTTGTACACAGTGTTTATCCTAAACCTTACAGTATAAAATACAGTGCTAACAACATAAAAAGTAAAGTAAAACATGAAATACCAAAATAAAACAATAAAATAAAGTCATTACAAAAATGTTTTGTTGATATTCAGTAGTAAAGTTCGACTTACAACCATTTCGACTTACGACCGGTTTCTCGGAACCGAACTCGGTCGTAAGTCGGATGGTAGGTGTAAATACTTTGTCTACACACCCACTACCCTTCCTAAAGCCTCCTTGTTCATCTGCTATCAAACTCTGTCTTACTCTTAATTCTTTCAATAATAACTCTACCATACATTTTATCAGATATACTCAACAGACTTTTTCTTTCTTCTTTTAACAAACCGGCCGTATCCCACCAAAGCAGGGTGGCCCAAATAGAAAAAGCAAAAGTTTCTCTTTTTAACTTTAGTAATGTATACAGGAGAAGGGGGTTACTAGTCCCTTGCTCCCGGCATTTTAGTTGCCTCTTACAACATGCATGGCTTACGGAGGAAGAATTCTGTTTCACTTCCCCATGGAGAAAAGAGAAAATAAGAACAAGAAATAGTACGAAAATAGAAGAAAACCCAGAAGGGTGTGTATATATTTGCTTGTACATGCGTGTGAAGTGTGACATAAGTGTAAGTAACAGTAACAAGACATACCTGAAATCTTGCATATTTCTTTCTTTCATTCTTTCAACACACTGGCCGTATCCCACTGAGGCGGGGTGGCCCAAAAGGAAAAACGAAAGTTTCTCCTTTTACATTTAGTAATATATACAGGAGAAGAGGTTACTAGCCCCTCCCAGCATTTTAGTCGCCTCTTACAACACGCATGGCTTACGGAGGAAGAATTCTGTTCCACTTCCCCATGGAGGTAAGAGGAAATAAACAAGAATAAGAACTAGAAAGAAAATAGAAGAAAACCCAGAGGGGTGTGCTTGTACATGTATGTGTAGTGTGACCTAAGTATCAGTAGAAGTATAAAAAGATTATTTGGTGTTCTGGTAGTGGGGAGTAAATGATACATCTTCGGAGGCTTCTTACTTTATTGTTAAGTCGTGGTGGGTACACAGGCTTGTGTGTTGTGCCCATGGCCCGGGAGTGCCATCCCACGAGAGAGAGCTAGGAGTAAGCCTTGTGTCTTCCTGCTAGGCCGCTGTGAGAGTGAGAGCGAGGCATGGGCAGACAGGCTGGCGTGCCTACCGAGAGGCCTGGCTACAGAGGGCAACACTTGAGTGGCGCAAAATATGAACTAAGCTGGCAGACAGCATGGGCTGTCTGTGCAGACAGTACAGGCTGTCTACATACGCTCGGCCACCTACCGCGCATCGTCCCGACGCGACAATACTGGTGGTAAAAGGAACTCGGTCTCTCTCTCGTGGGAACAGGGCACACAACACAAAATAAAAACATATATATACATATGAACATGGAAAAAACTTCCTACAGGGAGGGAAGGAAAAAAACAAGTGGGGTGTGCTAAACATCGTGGTCATAGGCAGTGAGCGTCGAAGGGCATCACTGAACGCCTTCCTGCGTCTGGACAGATACTGCAACACAGGAGACATCGCTGCAGTTGAGCTGTGACGTAACAGGGTACGGTCTCCTCTGGAACGGTGAAGCAGTCATCGTAGGAGTCGCTGCAGGTTTCACTCAACCTGGGGCACTACATGCTGGTGCCCTCGAGTGAGGCGTCGGCAAAACTCGGCAACTGGGCAGGACTTCTGGCAAGCGACTCAGGAGGACACTTCTCGACTGGTACTGTCGCTGGGCTGTCACTGCCGGTGAGCATGGAGCGAGTTGTGGAGCGAGTCGTGGCAGAGACGACTGGGCGAAACATCTGGGAGTCGTAACATCATACACCAGACTGCAGTGAGAGAGCTAGCAGTCAAAGTGACATCTTCTTTGTGCAGGCTGCTCACTGAAGCTTGTGACACAAGGCTGACAATGTGTCATTCTCTCGACAGTTGGAGTTATAGCAGAGGTTAGTCTAAGCGTCCTCAGACTTGTTTCTGTACATATAACTGCACTCTGAAGGTCTGAAGGTGAAGTGAAACAAATCTCGATGGGAATCGTAGCAGGTACGATTCTGCAGAACATCACGAGCGACTAGCATAAAAGCTTTCTGTACAAGAGGGCTCGGTCACTCGGGGGCTGAGTAGATCAGCTGTCAAATGCACTGGTCACATGGGTGACTTAGCACAGTGGTACTACTCAGGTCTGGCTCAGACCTCACTGGACACACGGAAACTACACACCCGCTGTACATGCGGTACAACATGGCTTAAACTAGCAAATGATGCTTTTCTGTGCATAAAACTGACTCTAAGACATACTAAAATGTGAGAACACTGACTGTGAGGAATTAATTAGCACACGACATATATCTTCTCTCAATTTTCTCGACAATACTGAAACAATTACTAAACACTCGATGGTGACATCATGTGATGTCAGGCGTGATGTCGCGAGGTGACGTCAGCAGCACTGTGACGTCAGTAGACATCTCGAGGTGACGTCAGGCAGACATCGTGACGTCATGAAGTCGGGCAGCAACATCGGTGACGTCGTGAAGTCGGGCAGCATCGTCGGTGACGTCAATGTGATGCGGGCAGCAGACCACAGCATGTGGCCTGGGACATCTGGTAACTCACGTGACTTGTAGATACACGTGACATCGCCCACACCCACATGGCGTCGTGATCTACGTGGCATACTGATCCACGTAGCTTCGAGTGGCCTCGAGCACTCGGATACACAGCACTGGCGACGAATTCACACAAAAAAAGCAGAAAACACAGCAGAGGGAGTGAGTAGTGGTGAGTGTATGGTAGACGGGTGAGCGTTCTCCTCCTCCTCCTCCCTCCCCTCCCTCCCTCCCTCCCTCCCTCCCTCCTCCCCCCTCCCTCCCTCCCCCCCCCCCCCCCCACACACACACCCCCAAACACGTGGAGAAGCTCACACCGGACGCAGAAATCACCACGAAACTCACCTCTGGCTTGCTGAAACAGCTGTGCTGAGCTGAACAGCAACATACAAGTGACGCTGAACACGCGACTTGAGAAACAGCGTGGGGTCGCTTACAATTCTCGGAGAATTTCGGCTGGATCCTGCTTGTACCTGTGTCTGGATGCTCAAACGTGCAGACACATCAGGATAACTTGTTGAGAGACAGATGCTTCTTGTGTAGGGTGATGAAGTGAAGATGATTTCATACCTCTCCTTCCTCTCTCCGGGCAAACAACTGCTGCGACCACCACTTTCCACCATTTATAAAAAAATTATTTGGTGTTCTGGTAGCGGGGAGTAAATGATACGTCTTCTTCGGAGGCTTCTTTGTTTATTGTTAGGTCGTGGTGGGTACACAGGCTTGTGTGTTGTGCCCATGGCCCGGGCAGGGCCATCCCACGAGAGAGAGCTAAGGAGTAGGCCTTGTGTCTTGCTGCTAGGCCGCTGTGTGAGTGAGAGTGAGGCAAGGGCAGGCAGGCTGAAGTGGCAACGCCTATAGGTGGCAGCACCAGCATGGAGCGAAATATGAACTAAGCTGGCAGACAGCATAGGCTGTCTGTGCAGACAGTACAGGCTGTCTACAGAAGTAGCAAGACATACTGAAATATTGCATGTTCATGAGACAGAAAAAAGGACACCAGCAATCCTACCATCATGTAAAACAATTACAGGTTTTCATTTTACACTCACTTGGCAGGACAGTAGTGCCTTCCTGGGCAGTTTCTGTCTACCAACCTTCTACCTAGGTCAACAGACTTTTTTTTTTTTTAAACAAGTCGGCTGTCTCCCACCAAGGCAGGGTGACCCAAAAAGAAAGAAAATCCCCAAAAAGAAAATGTGCACTTTCATCATCATTCAACACTTTCACCTCACTCACACATAATCACTGTTATTGCAGGGGTGCCCAGAATACAACAGCTTAGAAGCATATACATATAAAGATACACAACATATCCCTCCAAACTGCCAATAGCCCAAACCCCTCCTTTAAAATGCAGGCATTGTACTTCCCATTTCCAGGACTTGAGTCCGGCTATATAAAAATAACCAGTTTCTCTGAATCCCTTCACTAATTATTACCCTGCTCACACTCCAACAGGTCGTCAGGTCCCAAATACCATTTGTCTCCATTCACTCCTATCTAACATGCTCATGCACGCTTGCTGGAAGTCCAAGCCCCTCGCCCACAAAACCTCCTTTACCCTCTCCCTTCGACCTTTTTGAGGACAACCCCTACCCTGCCTTCCTTTCCCTACAGATTTATACGCTCTCCATGTCATTCTACTTTGATCCATTCTCTCTAAATGACCAAACCACCTCAACAACCCCTCTCCAGCCCTCTGGCTAATACTTTTATTAACTCCACATCTTCTAATTTCAACACTCTGAATTTTCTGCATAATATTTACACCACACAGACTTATTCCCCTATAATTTTTGCACTCTCTTTTGTCCCCTTTGCCTTTATACAAAGGAACTATGCACTCTCTCTGCCAATCCCTAGGTACTTTACCTTCCATATATTTATTAAATAAAAGCACCAACCACTCCAGAACTATTTTCCCACCTGCTTTTAACATTTCTGTCTTTATCCCATCAATCCCAGCTGCCTTACCCCCTTTCATTCTACCCACCGATTCACAAACTTCTCCCACACTCACAACTTGCTTCTCACTCCTGCAAGATGTTATTCCTCCTAACTTGCCCTATACACGAAATCACAGCTTCCCTATCTTCATCACCATGAAATACAGTGTTAGTAACCAACAAATATCCTCAAAAATTTACTTCTTCTATTTTTTTTCTTATGAATACCAGTCTTTTGGTGAGGTCGCATGTATATTTGTAGACAGTACATATGAATCCTGACATGTATTTTGTGTGACAAGAGTGTAAAAAAACTAATGAATGGTAATCAGTTTTTAAGTTCTCCGTGGGGAAGTGGAACAGAATTCTTCCTCCGTAAGCTATGCGTGCTGTAAAAGGCGACTAAAATGCCGGGAGCAAGGAGCTAGTAACCTCTTCTCCTGTATTTATTACTAAATTTAAAAAGAGAAACTTTCGTTTTTCTTTTTGGGCCACCCTGCCTCAGTGGGATATGGCCAGTTGTTGAAAGAAAGAAAGAAGTTTTTAAGTGGGTTAGACCCAGTCCTTATTTATTCAAACCCAGATTAACAAATAAAATGTGACTACCTGTAATGAAAAGGTTCATTTTGAGATATAGAGATAAAAGTAGTGTGCTTTGATTTACAAAATGTTTTTCTATTTAGTGAATAATGCTAGAGTTCTTGGTTGATTTCTTTTTTGTTTTTTACTTGTGCTACAATTTTATCTATAATGGCTTGGGTTTTAATTCCTTGCAGATTAGAAGGAGCCAAAGTAGCTAAAGCACGAGAATGGAAAAGACCAGTTGTAAATGGTGTTTGGCTGAGCGAGGTGTTGTTGGGTCAAAACACTCCCCCACTAGTCTATCATGGTACACGCTATCAACACTATTTAGATGACCCACTGCGAATAGATCCATCCTTAGCCTCTCATCTCTTCAGTAAGCATTGAATTACAAGTATTGATTTTTGCTTTACCTTATGTTATAGCCTCTCATAATAAGTTTGTTCTTTCCAGGCAGTTCATCATTTTTGTTATTAGAATATTTTTCATTATAGGATATACATATGAGATATACTGGACTGGAGTTTAGGACTTCATGCATGTCCCTTTTATAATGTGTTCTATATTGTCTGTGATTTCTTGCATATCAGGATGTGCCTCTTGCTTCCAGTGGGGTAATTTATATGTCTGATAGTGGCTTGCTTAGGGCATAATCTCTCCTTCAATATATCTTTGGAGTTATATCCAACCACATTAGCTATCCCAGATTCATCTTTATTAGGTTCTTCTTTACCTCATTTTCTGTTACTTCCTTATACTTCAGTATTCCTCAGTCTGGCTCCCTCTCCTAGTTCTGTCAGTAATATCTCTTGAAATATTTTATTACATTCTGTACAACTTATCTCTTGTGATGTTTTAACAGTCTGTAATTCTTTTATAAATGGATCACCTGGTCTAAGCTAGTAATCTTCCCTAAACATTTCTTTATTGTTTTGTCATCATCTCTTTTGTATGTGAGCACATTAACATATTCACCTAAATGTAACTTCCCCATATGTTTGTGAGGATTGAGCTCCAGCTCCAGAGCCTTCATTTTTGATTAGTGTGATGATGCTCAAGTATGCAGTGATCTTTCATATAGACATTATATTTGATACTTTCTTTGGAAAATTAGTATGCACAGAAACAACAAAGTAATACTGAAGTGTGGAAGGAGCTGTTTATGGTGAATATTCATGTGAAATGAGTCTACACATGAAAGGGTTAAGGGGCTATATTGTCTTAATAACTGGGGAGGAATCACAGCTTCAAGTACTGTAGTCTTCTCAAAATCTGAAACTTTTGGAAGTGTGAGAACACTAATTAATAACTGTTGGTTTGGATGTGCTGAGAAAGGAGTAAGGTTGACAGGATATTAAATATTTTTTATAGCCTGCTTAATTTTATTTACTGACAGATGCCTGGAAGTACCCAATAAGTGTGTCAAAGGAATCTGTAGAAAAGGCTAAGGCTGTAAGAGAAATAGCATTGAGGAAGAGAAAAACTGAAGCAGATGGTAAGTACAGTAATCCCATGAATATCAGTGTGTTATGAAAACATCTTTTCAGTACACAGTAGGTATATTGTACAGTTACAGAATCATATTTTTTTCCTCAATTTTTTCCATGCATTGATGCTTTGCGCCTATTCATTATATACATATGCGGTAGGCAGCTCACTTAAGTTTCATTGAGATTGGTTAAGAACTGCAGTTATTAGTATTTAAAACCCTTAGTGCTGCACTCATTGTTAATGTGATCATTAAACTCGGGTGACTTGATGAACACTAATAAAGGCGTATATTGTATATCTTCTTTGTAAAAACATAATAATTATATATGTAGTAGGACTAGTTTCATTGGTAAACAGCAGATTATGGATGTTTGGAAGTCTGGCCTCCAGCAATGATCAAGCCAAGATTTTGATATTTATTACTGTGTAATGGAAGCCAGGAGGTTATGAAAGAGTAATTGGTATACTATATAACTAGTTATCAAATAGTGAATAATTTTGCAAATGATGTACTTAAAAATACTAAGAGTTTACTGTAGGTGCAGTAGTAGGTTAGTAGACTGTATCCTCCTTACAAGGGAGCATGAAATGAATGCTTACAACATGTTTTGCACTTATGCAGACTTGTTTTTTCTTTGTCTCTTGAACATGCAAGATGGCAGGTAAATCTTAAAAACTTCTACTTATATTTAATATACATTTATCTTTTTCATGTGTTTCCTAATAGTTCTTATTCCTGTAATAGTTTGTCCAATTTGGCAGACCTAGTCTAAGTCTGTGCCACAAGTGCAGTGATCCCAGATCCTGGATTTAGTGCTTCCCCATAAATGATGTATATTAGACTTGATTTTCTCTATTCCGTGTATTACAATATACAGTACACTACTGTATAAACATTTAAAAATATACCAGAAATGTTATAAATGGTGCAAAGTTGACATTAAAACAATATCAAAGATGGTTGACACAAACCCACTACCATTATAGTATGCTCCTCACTTAGTGATGAATTTGTTTTACGACGTGGTCTTAGGAACGAACTCCTTCGTTAAGTGAGGAGAGGCTGTATATACACACCTCTCTGGGTATTCTTCTATTTTCTTATTAGTTCTTGTTTATTTCCTCTCTATGGGGAAGTGGAACAGAATTCTTCCTCCATAAATTGTGTGTCATAAGTGGCGCCTAACATGCCGTGAGCAAGGGGCTAGTAACCCCTTCTCCTGTATACATTCCTAAGGTTAAAAAGAGAAAAGTTTGTTTTTCTTTTTGGGCTATGCTGCTTTGGTGGGATATGGCCGGTTTGTTGAAAGATGATGATTTGTACTGGTCCTGTTTTATAGTGTATTTGCCATGTTTGCAGTGATTAATTAATAGTGTTTCATTGGATGTAAACTGTATTATCTGGCATAGGGTAGGGTAACTCAAAAAGAAAATATGCTTTCACCATCACTCACTCCGTCACCGTCTTGCCAGAGGAGTGCCAACAATACAGCTCAGATACCCCTCCAAACTGCAATATCTCCACCCCTCTTTCACAGTACAGGCACTGTACTTCCCACCTCCAGGACTCAAATCCAGCTAGCTGGTCCCTTCATAAATGTTACCTTGCTCACACTCCAACAACACATCAAAACAAAAAAATGCTTGCCTTTGGTCACTGCTATCTAACACACTCACACAAGCCTATTGGATGTTCAATCCCCTCTAATACAAAACCACCTTCACCCCATTCCCCCAATCATTCCTAGGATGACCCCTACTCTGCCTTCCCTCCACTACAAATTTATACACCCTCTGGAGGGTAATATGTAGGAAATACAAAATATTAGTTAATTTATCAAGGATAAAAGGAAGATCAGATCATGGTAAAAATAAAGAACTTTTTTTTTTTTTAGAAAGCAGCTATTCACTTGAGTTCCTATAGTAAAATAAAGCTCCAAATTTCCCTTGTTTATTATCATTGTGTATGCAGGTGATCAGGAAAACAAGCGCTCTCGTTTGGAACCCCCACCTGCGCCTCACCTTAGTGCTATGCCTACACCCACTCCACAACTTCCATGTGCACCAAATCAGTTGGCAGGTACTCCCAGTGGCTTGTCTCAAGGAACTGTGAGCATGGGTGGTGTCAGAGGTAACCTGACAGTCATCAACAAAGAATTACCACCAGAACAGCAAAGACCATGCATTCTTCTTTCTTGTGTGAAGAATAAAGAAGATATTGAAAGGGTAAGAACCAGGATAAGTAAATATTGTTTTTGATGAATAAGAGGAATGTGCAACACTTATATATTTATTGTAGAAATGTTTTGGCTGCTTATTTAATTTATTTATTGATTTATTGTAATGTACAGTAAGTCCTCACTTACATTGTTGATAGGTTCTTGAAAACTGCGAATTTAAGCAAGAACATAAAATGAAACCAATTTTACCATAGACTAATTGATATAAACAAGAATTAAGTTGCTATGGCATATTTCTGGTCACAAAAAAATCACCAAACTTCTAAATAAAAACCCAAAACACTTCTGATATAAACAGTGAAATAAATGTGAACTATACATACATTTAAGAAAGACTAATTAAAACAAGTAACATAATTGTTTACCCAGTATTTGGTGAATCAGTGAGTGACAGCAGTCATAGTGATGATGGTGGGTGGTATGGGAGGGAGGCTTAATCCTCATCACTGGCGATGGATAAAGGTAAGTCTTGGGTCCTGATCATGATCTCTGAAGGTCAGAAAAGCAGCTTGGTCATTACCATCACGGAAGGTGAGGGTGGGGGTGTTGCAAGAAATTCCTGAGGGGCCTGGTGTTGCCTCAGGTTGGAGTGGTGTGATAGGTGTTGGTGTTGCTGGCATTGCAACTGCTCCAACTTTTTGATTAGCTGGGGTGAAAATGGCCATAGCTTTGTACAACAACTGGAAAGCCTCAATCAAATCTTTAGTTGTTAAGATTCGTGGTGGTTCTGCATTCTCAGTTTCATCCTCCTCCTCCTTCAGCACGTTGTTGTTCCATCTCCATGAAGTCCTCGTTAGATAATTCTTCATCGTGTGATTCAAGTACAGTGACTCCACTACATCTTCATTTATTTAATTAAATCTAGCCTGGTGTGCTAGTCCAACAATCTCCTGATGACTTTTATGTAATGGCTGCTCAGACCCTGGAAAGTTTGTAGTGCAGTCTGGATAAATTTTATGCCAGACAGGATTCATTATTTTTGTTTTCACTGCCTGCCATGCCTCTGCTGAATTGTGGGTTTAGCTTCACCATCTAAAAATTTAATTATTTGCTTGAAGGTACACCATAAATAGTAGGCTTTGAATGTTGGTATAACACCTTGATCCATAGGTTGAATCAAGCTGGTTGTGTTTGTAGGCAGAAAAGTTACTTGAGCATTATCTGTGAGGTCATCCAGGTTAGGTAAGTGACCTAGAGCATTGTCCAAAAGAAGCTAAGCTTTATTGCCCAACAGTGTCTTTGATGGCTGGGCAGAAACACAAAGTAAACCATTCTTGGAACACTGTTATGGTGATCCACCCCTTTTTATTTGACCAAATAACAGGAAGATGAGGTTTAGAGTAGCCTTTCATAGCTCTTGGTGTCTCAGACTGATAAACAGCCTGATCTCCTGAAGCATTACTACCAAGGCTGCTTTCAGCAGCCTTGAATCCTGGTGCTGTTTTTTCTTTAGAAATGGAAGTTCATTTTGGCATTCGTCTCCAAAAATGTCTTGTCTTATCTATGTTAAAAATTTGCTGCGGTGTGTATCCTTCATCAATTTTTTTCAGTAAGGCTGGGTAATCAGTATACAGGCTCACCTGCCATTTGTATGTTATGCAGCTTGACCATTTCTTAAAATGCTCAAACCAACACAACTTGCCACAAAGGTTTCACTTGCAGCACTAGAACCCTGTTTTTTCTTTAGATAAACTTAAAGCTTTCATTTGTATGGCCATTAGTGAATATGGAGTAATGCCATTGCATGTCCTCTGTCCAGATATTTAAAAGTCTTTCCATATTTTCCATTATGCTGCTTCTATTCCAAGTTAATTTTGTAGCAGCTAAAGGTGTTACACTTTGAGTACAAACTTTAATCTTTGCAGCATTACTGCAGATTGTTCATACAGTTGTTGGTGATAGACCAAGAGCTCTTCCAATATCTACACCTCACTGTCCATGATCATACCTCTCTAAAACTTCTAGTTTTGTTTCTTATGTCACACTTTTTTTTTTTTTTTTTTTTTTTTTTTTTTTTTTTTGTGGCCACAGCCATCAGGGGATAAATTGTACCTGTAGCACTCATTGCAGTAGCATTAAATCAAGGAATAAATGTTTGCAAAGCAAAAATTGTAAGGAGCACCTCCTACCCCCATACATTCCAGAGAAAAAAAAATAAGAAAAGTGGCAGGCAAACTCCACACTTGACAGTGGCCCCAGCCAGAAATCAATTTTTTTTTTTACATCGTTATAATGAAATGACATTGAACAAAACAATGTTATTTGAGGACTTTCTGTGTATTAGACCAAAAATGCTAGAAGTAGCAGTGAAATCTGTAGAATTTACTTTGAGTGAAACATTAGTGTAAAATAGAAGGGATTAAATAGACACTTATTTTTGTACAGGATTAGCTGACTAGTGGAAATGAGCACTGGTGAGTTCAGTACTGTGATAGAGTATGAATTTGTAAAAAAATTAAGTTAGGAATAAATAATTATTAAATATAAGGTAGAATGAATATGTTAGTGACTGGTGTTTAGCTAGTAATAATGATATATTAATTCAAATTTGTGCACTTACAGAATGTTCTTGAGTTAGGTGGCTACCTTGCCAGGTCAAGTAATGAAGCAACTCATCTTGTCATGGGGTCTTCCTCAGCTCAGCGCACTGTCAAGTTTATGTGTGCAATTTCAACATGTCAGTATGTAGTGTCATTGCAGTGGCTAATAGACTCGTATGCGGAAGCAGTGTTTTTACGTAAGTATTAAAGAAAAAAGACAGTATGTACTATATATTTATTTACAGTTCAGTGTGAAAATCTATCAGACCCATGTTTGCAGTTTTCATTTTTTTATACGCCATTTTTATTGTACTCATTGTTATGCAGTATTGTTTGTAGTTGCATGTATTTCTTAGTTATTAGTAGGCAATAGCAACATTTGTGCATGATGATACACAAGCAACAAGTATCCATTCATTGCCATTTTTATTAGAATATTTTATCAGTCCCTTTGCTTTCACTCCATCTTTCACCCAACCATTAAAATTTGCTTACAGTTAATAGGTAAGGACATGTACACTCTAAGAAATGTACTAAGGAAATTTTTCACCACAAGTGACTTCTTCAGCCCTAATACTGAGTAGCTAGAACAAGTAGTATATATAGTACAAGAAGTCAGGGAAACATAGGTCAAAAATGGGATAACATGTTAAGAGATGGCATTGATGGAATGTGTCTGAAGTGAGTTGACAGGTCTGCTATAGCACTTTTTGGTATAACTTTGTATCATCTAATGGAGGTGTCACCCAATCATTTGATCAGGGTTTTGAATATATACTTGCCTGACTTCTGTGGTATAATGTCATTGATTGCCATCATGGGTGCTTCTAAGCACTTGCATCCATATAAATTCTTTTTGTGAATTATCAGTGTGGCTTTGTTAAATTTCATGATGGGCCTTGCTGTTCTATGTTACAATAAAGCATTATTTTGGTCATCTTATCTGCAGGTGTATGTGCTCACGAAGTCTGAGTTTTAGTGTTCTAGATGTTTTGCTGACTTGCTTGTTGTTACAACCTCTGCAAAATGTAATGCCAAGGAAAGCCTTGGAAGTGGAATTGTCTGCCTCCTTGTTTTTCACTAGGTCTTTGATGGCAGTTAAGGTGTTGGTGGCTACTTTGAAATGATTGACTGTCCTTAGTAATGGTATATTAGAAGCCTTATTACTTTGCAGTAAAATGATATACTTGGTGGGTGGGGCTGTTGTGTTTTCTGTTATGCCTGTTGAAAAAGAGCATTGTGCTTCCTACTTTATTTCATCACTGACTGCAGATTCTTGTTATTAAAACTTTTTAACTTCAGGCGCCATTTTTTCGTTTAATTTCTGGTGATAATTAATGTTTAGTCACTGCTTATTTTTTACATTAGGTATTTCTTACTATCTCTGCCACCAGTAACTGTGTATCCGTTTTCAACAGCTGAAGATAATTACATTATGGATATGCCAGAATATGAGCGTGTCTTCAAGTTCAGCTTGAAAGAAACATTAATGAAGACAAACAGGAGGCAGCTTTTCACAGTGAGTTTTAGTTGAAAGATAAAATCGTAAAATTTGTTTTTACTTAATTCCACATTGTTCTTATACTAGCCT